TGATACAATGATCTTTAAACTCGGATCATAATGTGATAAAGTTGGTGCTGATTTAAGTTTTTCTTTTACTTGATTAAAAACTTGATCTTGAGTTTTTTCCCATATGAACATATTACTGTCTTTTAATAACATATGCAATGGTTCTAATAAATGAGATTTATTTGGTATAAATCTACCTACAAAATTAACCATACCGAGAAATCTAAGAAGCTCTTTTTTATTTTCTGGTACTTTAAATGCATTTATTGCTTTGAATCTTTCTGGATCAATTTTAATGCCCTTTTCATTTATTAAATGACCTAAATATGTCACCTCTTTTACTCTAAATGCACACTTTTTTCTGTTAATTGTTAATCCTTCATTTTGTAACCTATTTAGTACTTCCCTTAGTATTCTATCATGTTTTTCTTTAGTTTCTTCAAATACTAAAATATCATCCATATGTATAGCTACTTTTAAATCTTTGAATAAGTTAGAAAATTTCATACTAAAATACTCTGGTGCACAATTTAGACCAAAAGGTAAACGATTATAAACATACCTACCAAAAGGTGTTATAATAGTAGTAATTTTCTTTGACTCTTCGTCTAGCTTGATTTGATGGAACCCTGAGGTAGCATCTATTTTAGAAAAATATTTAGCCCCCTTCAGCTTTGCTAATGTATTTTCCACCTTTGGTATTGGGTAAACCGGTCTTAAAATACTTTTATTAACTTCAGTATAATCTCCACAAATCCTAACTTTATCATTTTTAAATACTACTACAATTGGTGAGACAAAATCAGTAGGTTCTTCTATCGGACTAATTATTCCAAGTCTTTGTAATCTATCTAGTTCTGCTTTAACTTTTGGTAATAATGGAATTGATACATTTCTAGGTGTAGCATGTACATAATGTTTTGGATTTGCAACTAATTTGATATGGAATTCGTCTTTAAATACTCCTAACTCATTAAATATATTGGGATATTCTTTTTCAATTACTTCACTTATATTATCATCAGAGTTGAAACAATGAGAGATAGCACTTATAGTAAGTATATTCATATTTTCAATAGAAGGTCTCCCTAAAATAGCTCTACTTAAATTTTTTATAATATAAACTTTACCTTCATATACATTTTCTTTATACCTAAGCTTTAAATTAGTAGTTCCCAAAACCACTAATTTTGTCCCATCTGGTCCTTTGATCACATCATCACTTTTCACTATAGAGAGTCCACATCCTTTTATAATATTGTCTGGTATAGCACTTATGTCTGCTCCTGTATCAATAAGAAATTTTACTTTACTTATAAACTGATCCTCTTGAAAAACATCTACGTCTATTAAATACTTTTGTTTTGACTCACAGAAACTAACCTCATATGTAGTTCCTATTTCTTCCTTCTCAATATTTTTTTCTATCTTGGCTCTGCACAACCTAGCAAAATGCCCCGTTTTTCGACACTTGAAGCATGTTATATTTGATGCTGGACATTTGTACCTAGGATGTCTTTTTTGTCCACAAAACCAACAATTTCCTTTTAATTGTAGTTCTTCGTTGTTTCTTTGTGCTGTTGTTGTTCCTACTTTCACCCTATTTATTTCACTTTCTTCCTTATTTTCTCTTATAATCATACTCTCTTTTTTTTGTATTTCCGCTTGCTTTCCCATTTGAATAGCCTCCTCAAGCTTTAAGTCATTTTTTAAGAGCATCCTGTCACTTATATTTCTATCCCTTATGCCAATCACTACTCTATCTCGTATAAGTTCTTCTTTTAACAAGTTATACTCGCATCCCTCTGCTAACTTATGCAAATCCGTGACAAATTGATCAAAATCTTCCCCTTCCTTTTGTACCCTTGAGTTAAATTTGAATCTTTCGTAAATTACATTCTTCTTGGGAAAGAAAAATTTGTCAAAACTCTGAAGTAACTCTGTATAAGTTAAATTTTTATCAAATTGAATAATTATGTCTTCTGCCTTATCTCCCATCGAGTATAACAGAAAATCTATTTTACTTTTATCACTTAATTCTTCATTTCCCGATACGCTCATATACCTTTTGAATCTAGTTATATACTTCGGCCACTCTGCTGGCACGAAACTAAATGTTCCCGGAGGCGCCATTTTGAGTTGTTGGTTCCTTTCAGAATCGGGCTGTCGGACTGAGGAAGTTTGTGCTTCGTCTGCCACCATGTTTTAAGATGTGTTAATAAAACTATTTCTTACTTGTTTAATATGTATTAATAAACTATAGTTACATGTTCTTAGTATTATTAACTCTAAATCTAATTTCACAGCTTCCTTCAGTCGTCTCTTTTTATAACTAACTTCCATAGATATTTAACAGATAATATTATGTCCACTCCCACAGATAATCAATAATAACATAACTGTTCTCTCAACAAAAACTATTCATCAAAACATTGTACATTATAATCTAATAGTGTAAATTGTTTTATATGACTAACAATATAACAATCTTTACAAGATGTTGATAATCTTAACTAGTTAATCCACCATAAAACTATATCACATGTATTTCTCATGCATGGATCAATAAAATTTACATAAAATCTTTCTTCTGAACATAACTAATTACTAAATGAGCATTCTTGTCTTACAAAAATAATAGTCTGAAAAGATTATGGAAGGGAGAACTAAGGAGAATTAACTTATATGGGTAACAGGTTGAAAAAGTGTCCAGTAGTGAGCAGCAAATTATAGCTCAGAAACTCACCGTTAAGCCTAGTTCGCATTAAGCTAGTATTTTAGTCTAGTAGCGAGTAATTTAGTAACTAAACGTGTCTGAACACTAAAAATTTAGTCGATTAGTTTAGCAAGTAATTTAGTCGAGTCAATCCATTTTATTCAATTTTTTGGGCGAGTTGCAGCCCCCACTACGCGTCCGAGTTCACTAGTTCACCGGCTAAACAAGAACGAACCTGTCGAATTAGTCGAGTTCATTAGTTGCCGCCATAACATTCATTAACAGAAAATATACACAACTTTCGGACATTCTCAAATTATCGAAGTATTCTTTGGGATCTTCCAATGCTAATTCCTTCAGAAGACAATTAGTAGCTCCTAGTTTATCTTGTCTTTCGATCCATTTTCGTACCCATAGCTTCTTTTTATTAATCACTCAAATTTCCTCATCCACCTCTTCTAAAATAGCCGTTACGATCAGCTTAATCAGTTTATTTACTTTATTGCGTTGTAGGCTGTTCATCTTGCAAAACACCACTCACTTGTAAACTGTACTCGACCAAAGTGCGAACGATTTTTGGTGAGTAGCGAGTAATTTAGCTACTAAATTACTCGCTACTAGACTAAAATACTAGCTTATTGCGAACTAGGCTTTACAGCACTAGCGTAGCAAGTAGATGTGATGTGAAGTTAGTAGTTTTTAACGGAGTGAAGTGTGCTGAATTATTATTACTTGAAAATAATATATAATTATATTGCTGTTTGCCTATGCTAGAACTATTTAGAAAAGTGCGCCACAGCAAAGCGGAAATCTTTCTTTCCTTGTTTAATTCACCTTCTTACTTTTATGACGTTATGTTTTAAACTAGCGACTCACCCTCGCCTCACTCGGGTTCGTCCCTGGATACTTTTTTTGAGCGGAACTCTAATTCTTTTTTTTAAATAAAAGTAGCCTATATTACTCCCTATAACATCAGTTACCTTCCACTGAAAGTCCGTCAAAAACAGTCCAGCCGTTTCAGAGATTATTCGGAACAAACAGACAGACAAAAAATTGAAAAATTAGTTTTTCTTATAAGTACCGTATATAATTTCATATGCATTTAGTAAAAAGGTTTATTTTGACATTACAAACAGACACTACAATTTTATTTATCTGTATAGATGTATAGATTCATATACTTGTTTTCTGTGGCGCCACCAATTTAATGCTTGTCAGCGGTCTCTTTTTATACGAGAAATAGTTCTCCTTAGTTCTACCCTCCATATCTCTTTGGTACAGACACAGCATGGCATGTCAAGTCAGCCTTAAGCCACAGATCCTTGAGACAGACAGACAGAAGGACTGCCTCAAACCGCGATATTGCCTGTCCTGTGTTTTAATATTTTAATAATTTTACCTATTAAAACGCAGTATTAGGGAATAGTATTTGACTTTAAGTATCTTAGGTAGTATGAATTGGATGGAGCAAACTAACTAATATGCAGTAAAATTTATAAATATTGTAAACTAAATGGTCTTTTACAAGCAACTACAAAACATCCTACAAGTTAAACTGCAGTAAATACTGCATGTCTTTTAGTTTTTCACAAGAAATTACAAAATCCCCCACAAGTTAATGTGCAGTATGGAATGTTAATACTGCACTTTAATTAGGAATATAAATAAAAAATATTTTTTCTTAACCTTTGCAGTATAATCAATTTGTATAGAGTCGAATAATACTGCATTTTAATAAGTTTTTTCTTGAATCTCCTAGAACAAACTACTATTTTAAGTGCCACAAAATATGATAAAACACTGCAGTTTAGTTAGGAAACAGAGAAAAATCTTGTGCAGTATTAATTGTACTGCGGTTTAGCTGGTAAACATGGAATATTTTAACAGATTTGTGATATTTTTGCTGTTACACCTTCCGAAAAAACATTAAAATAAAATACTTTTATTAGCGCTACAGAAAAAAGAATTAATTTGACTGATAGCTACTAAAATGGGGATTTAGAATATATATTTAACTCAAAACCGACCAAAATGTCTATTACTGCACTTTAGGCTCAGGTGGGCAGAATAGCACATAGGCTACTTTTTAACCCGGAAAAATGTACGGTTCCCGTGGGATAATTTGTTTTTGTTTTTCTAGTGGCGAGCCCGAGCGAAGCCCATATTCGCCTACAGCAATACTGAGCTACACCATCGACACGCCCCGAATATATTTTGATTATTACTCATTACTAGGCCATCCTGTCTCATTATCTTTAATACATATTATCGCATACTTAAATTAATGTTTTTTTTTTTTCAGAAAATGGGTAACATTATTTTTTCACTCCTATGGCTGATAATTCTACTATTCGTAGGGTTTTGGGTCGCATGCTTCGCAGCAGGCTTCTATATCTTCCTTGTCCCATTCACAGTTTGCATAGGTGCTTTATCAGTAAGTATGATCGATAAGATATAATAATATTTGTTAAAATCAAGTTCATTTCAATAGCAATTTAAATTTTAAATATTATAGTCTACATAGTGTAGATATAAAAAAATGATGGAAAATATTACGAATTTTTAAAATAAAAAATAAACTGAATTTTTATAATCCAATTTCCGCTAATTGGTTGGTTCTACTGGATTAAGACTTAATCCAATAACTGTGTAAAGTGATATATTTAGGTTTATTATTATTTGTACAACTATTGTTTTTATTTATTTTTTACTTTAGTGTTTGAATATTATGTACGACGACTGAACTATGTAAAGAATGTGATTAAATAATTTAGATATTCTTTTTTAACATCACAATGGGGGAGGGAGGCTGTAGTGAGATATCACGTGTATTTATTTTTTCGTTGAACTTCGTCGTTAGTCTTTCTTTCGTTGAATTCAGAAAGCTGGAGAAATTCTTGCATTTTTATCACGGTGCATAATTTTCTAGAATTAAATTAGATTATTCCTGTATTCAAAGTAATATTCAGAAAAATTTTAAAATACTTTGTACCAAAAAAATACACGTGATTTTGGTTGGGGGTTAGTCTAAAACCCCACCACGTATCACCAGGGGGGAGGAGGGAGTCAAAATGTTGCTAAAACATCACGTAATTAATGGACGACCTATGGTTTTATAAACATTTAAAAAAATGTATTTTAATATTCATTTACAGGGCCTTACAGACTTCCTAATGTCGTGTATAACATTCCCGAAGTATTGTGCTCAAGGAATCATGGACGGCAGAGGATTTGGATAGTTAATATGACATATATGTAGTTTTTATATTATAATATATATTTTTATTGTTAATAATATTAATAATATTTGTATGTTTTTGTAACAGAATCGTTGTTATTATACGATTATGTAAATTATGAGTAAAAACTGATTGATATATAAAACCACAGACACTAGATACACAGTTTCTAACAAATATTTCCAAAAAGTGGCGTTCTAAGTGATGTTAAGTCAAACTAAATAATGAAACCCAAAAATAGTAAGTTCCGATTGTCTAAACATAAAATCGAAGAAATAGCCTTCGGGAGTCACGTAAACTAAAAACTACATGGAATAGAATCGTTGTTAAATTATTATTATTTTCTAAGTAAAATTGCAATTTAATAATATTGCCTTAAGAATTCCTATTATTATTAGAAATGTGTATTAAACTTGTAATGGCTAAATATATTCACCGTAAAATATTATAATAAGCAGCTCAATTATTCCTTCCAAATAAAACATTAAGTAATACATTATATTAGTAATAAATGAAAACAAGCAGTTTTTACTTAAAAATATTATATAGATGAAATTACTACCTACTAAATAAAAACTAAAAATAAAAAAGTGCCTTACGATATCGACTTCATTTAAATAAGAACAGAGTCATATAGAGATTGTAATATACCTACAGTTTTTATAATAAATTATTATAGTATAGAGCAGCCATTGAAAATTGTCGTGTAACATAATATCAAATCGTTATTTGAAGTAAAAAATAAATGAAATAAAATAATCCTCGTTACATTTGGTAATATTACAAAAATATACCTATCATTAACATCGAAAATACAATCTTCAATCGTTTTTAAGGTTCTATATGTAACATTTTTACATTTTTGTTACGGACACAAGACATTTTTGAGGGCTCTTTTATGAAGCTGACTGTGTGACTGTGTATCTTGGGTTTAGTATATCAATGTAAAAACTGATTAGTTAAAAAAAATAACTTAGCGTGCGATTTATAGGTAATCTCTAAAGGGTTGCATAATGTATTGCTATATTGATTATTGCATTATTTTTAATAAACTCAATTAAAATTCATTGTAATAATGAAATTTTATTTGTTTACATACTTTCTAACAGCTACTTAGATTGGAAGACCTAATAAGCGAAATGCACAGTGGTGCCATAATAAATGTTGACGTACGTCTTGGTAATCATTTATTATAATAAAAAAATAGATTAAAAACATATAGTATTGTTTATTATCCAGCTTAAAACTAACTCAAAAAATAAACACTATAATCCTTTGAAATGTTATCGACGAAGTAACATTATAAAATATCTCATTTCGTTTATTAACAAAATCACACATTTGAACATTTTCAATGTAGGTTTATAGGTTAAATGCATGCAATTTTCAAACAATTAAAATAATACTTTTTCGGTTATTCTTTACTTGCTTCTATCACTAATTTGACGGAATCCTTTAAAATCGTTCCTTTTTCCAAACATTTCCTGATGAAATTCCTGAAAATAACGTAACTTTTAATAAAATTAATAACTAAAATTAAAATGGATATAGTTTTAAGAAACAATATTTATATACTATAGGAAAGATTAATTAAATAAAGGATTATAATTATTGTTATAGCTTCATACACTTTCCTTTGACTTGATCATAGTTCATAATTCATTAGTACGAGTTCCCCCTTTCCACGAACTATAAATCACTATTAGCAGAAAATTTGAAATACATCCATATTCTTAACGGATGAAGTGTTTTGTATTAAACATATCACATAAAAAAAATATACATCGCAAATGTGTTGCCTAATAAAATATTATGGTGAAGAATACTAATAATAAAAAAAAACACTTTTTTACAAAATAAAAACGTTAGTTGATAGCGAAATTTAAAAAGTTCACGAGCTCACGAATTTCTTTCTCTATAGGAAAGGAAGACTTGGCAACGACTCTAGTTAGGCAAGTAATGTAAACATAAAACAAGTATTATTTTTAGTAAATTCACGTCTTGACCTATATTCCCATCAGGCAAACTTCCTGCGACATACTTGTTTATAATTTACTAGCATTGCCTGCGGCTCTGCCCGCGTTCAGATGACCAAAAACCAATACCAAAACCATACCAAATTTCATCAAAATCTCCCCCAGTGGTATTTCTGTGATGCGGTAACAGACAGACAAAAATTATAAAAACTGTATATTCGGCCTCTGCATCGATAATAATGTCTATTTCAATACGATTTTCAAAAAATATTTAATGTACAGATTCGACTTAAATTACAATTTTATTATATGTAGGTATACATTATGTTTAACACAATATACTGTTCACTCGGTAAGCTGATGGGTGAGGTACAAACTTACATAAGATCTTAGACTATACATATTAAGTAGTTATTCCCATAGTCAAACAGTCCGAGCATATATAGCATTTTTATTGTATAGTACAAACAAACGAAACCTTATCAGTGCGTGTATCACATTTCAATGGAAAGCATGATTAACGAGTAAACTTTTTAAGAAAATAACTCAATTCTCACGTCATAATTTAGTTTTTAGCCGAAATTAGGCCACGCTTATTATAAAGATATTAGTCACTGATAATAATAATAGATATAAAGACTAATCACTATCAACGATGATGAAATATATTTTATTTAATTCAATAGGAAACGTCATTATGTTAGCTTATTTTAACAACAAACACCGTCATTTATGTAAATAGTGTGTCACGAGGTGCCAAAATAAAATAAATTAAAAAAAATAATTAAAGATTGAAAAATTATAAAAAAATATAAATGTTATATAAATCACTTGCAACTGTTACACAATATGTATGTGCATTGTACATTGCTAAGTTAGCAAAGTCAAATTTTAATTATGTAACTTAGAATAAGACAACTAACACATTTACAAATTTACAACGTAAAAATAAAATAATTTACATTTTATAAGATAAACGTAATGAAGGACTTACCTGTATCCCTCAAGATCCAGGTCATGTATTACATTTTCGTTTATATTGTCCATTCTCAAAAGTTCTTGTATTCTGTACAAGCAGTCGCTTGTTTCTCTGCTTAAAATACTTAAAGAGAAATATCATATGTTATTTACAAACAACTAACTAGTGACTCACCCTCGCTTTGCTCGGGTTCGTCCCTGGGTTGATTCCCCATACAAACTTTCATCCCCATTTTTCCTTAAGGAATGATTTCCAGGATAAAAAATAACTTATGTCCTTCCCAGGGTCTCAAACTATCTTCTTACCAAATTTCATCTAAATCGGTCCAGTACTTTCGGAGCTATTCGGTACAAACAAACAAAAAAATCTTTCCTCTTTATACATATAGATTACTAGCATTGCCCGCGGCTCCGTCCGCGTTCAGATAACCAAAAACCAAATTCTTAGGTTTTACATTGTATTGTCTTACAATACAGTTTTTGTATTTTTTCTCAGAAATGAGACATTTTCCCGCGGTAAAAAGTATCCTATATGTTGACCCGGATAACCAGCTATCACCATACCAAATTTCATCAAAATCCCTCCAGTGGTTTTTCTGTAATGCGGTAACAGACAGATGGACAGACAAAAATTCTAAAAACTATAGATTCGGCCTCTGTATCAATAATAATGTTTATTCAATAAGATTTACCAAAAAATATTTAATGTACAGATTCAGCTTAGTTACAATTTTATTATATGTACCTATAGATAAAATGACTATAGACTTTCCTAGATGGTGATTCCCACATAATACTACGAGTTTGTATCCTAGTGGTATACGTAAATGCAATTCCCAACGTTAAAAAAAGAGGCTGTGTTAATTCAGGATATAAGCTATCTCTATTTACGAATTTCACTTAGTTTAAGTGGTGGTCATGTTGGAAATGATTCGTAAATGGAAATATCATTAATGCCGGAATTTGAACTCGCTTCACTCGGTTTCCCAAGTGAGCGTGCTACCACTGGGCTACCACTGCCTGTATGAAACGTATTAGTAGGAGTAATTATATTTAAATTTCATCCAGATCGTGCTAATAACCATACTGCTTACATGCCAGTTCAATATACAGGTGGTCGGAACATTGACGTGCAAAAATAAAATTTAGGTCCCTCGTATCGTAGGGTATCCGAATCACCCCCATGTATGGTACTCGACTTTTCATAGTTTTCGTGTTATGATTTTTTTTCTGAATTTTTGAGTATATTAGACCTTAACTGAAAATAAATCTAAAAAAAACACAGTTGAGATTTGTTTTTTTGCAACTAAATCTGCATAAGTAGTACTTTTATAAATAAAATAATCAGCTTCATAACTGTGATGAAAGTTATGAAAATGGTCTAAGCGAAAAAAAATAATGTTCGGTCAATTATGACTTAAATGTTCAACTTTAAATAAAAAATCTAAACAGGTGACTTCATGGTTCCTCATTAAGCCTAAGAATGCGCCAGACTGTCAGCTTTTATAATCATTAAAAAAAAGTAGTATGGGGCTACTTTGGCTAAAACCGGCCTTCGAAGACAGCGATGGGGAGAATTCTTAAAATTAGTCATCTGATTAAAAATAACATTTTATCGTTCCTAAAGTTTCAAATAGAAATTCATAACTCGGAAACTATGAAAAGTCGCGTAACATAGATGGGGGTGATTCGGATACCGTACGATACGAGGGACCTAAATTTTATTTTTGGACGTCGTTGTTCCGGCCATCCTGTAGAGTATGTAAACATGTACGTGATAATATAAACATTAAAATTTTATCTTTTCATCAGTTTTGGCCGGTTATAGCCAAAACTTGTAAACAAATATAACATTTTTTTTTTGTTAAAAAATAATTACTACATACCAATACAAACATACCTACTTAGTGCATCGCATAAGCTATTTACATGTGAAAATGTTTTTTCAGCTAGTTCTTGTATGTTTGTCTTTTGTACGCTGTCATCTGAAGAACTTAATGTTTCACAGGATTTTACACTGTAATTAATGAATTGTGTAAATATTTTTTTAAGTTAAATCTAAAATGTAACTTCTTTTCATAATATATAACAATTAATACGTTACCAAAACCCATGAATAGCTAAAAACGTTTTTTTAATGTTATCCTCTATTTTTCCCATAGTAAATTTGAAGTTGACATCCTTCTTTTCTAAATTCTCGTTATTTTCACATTGCAAATCATTAACGGCCCCCGATTCGTTATCATCATTATTACTATCATACATTTGATCATTATATTCATAATCATCGTAATGATTCTCATAGAAAAACTCATCACCTTCATTCTCTAGTTCTTCATCAACTGCATAATCTGATTCACTTTGACTGTACCAATTATCTTGTTCTAAATCCCCTTCGGGAATATTCTTTAATTTCTCTTCAAATTCAAAACACTTTGTAAAATTTCTGATAATTTTCGGTTCACTATTAACTTTATTATCTTCAGATGAAAGTTCCTTTTGATTATCATTTGTTATTAAATTGTTATCTGTTTTTAAACTTTCAATATCATTTTCATTGATTTGTGGTAGTTCATCTACAACCGTATCTAGAATTTCAATATTTTCGTTTGCAACAGGATTTTTCTTTAGGTGTAAACTGGTAAAGAAAGACGCCTCGAGGTCAATATTTCGAATAAATGTAACTTCATTACCGATATCTTCCATTTCCTTAAAATATAATTACTATTAAAATTGTAAGTATATGTTGTTGCATTTTTTTTTAAATAAAAAAATCGTAAGACCATAAAGTTATTTAAAATCCCTGTAGAATAAATAAATATTTTTAATATTAACATTCAGCTGCTACAGTTTTTTTTTATTTCTTCACATATACATTTCTTATTATTTCATACAGTAAAAGCTGTCACACAACAAAACAAAAAAAAAGCAAACAAAGTCACAGTAAAAAATGAATACCTGCAATAATTTCTTCTTTCTATGTGACCTGAGATGGTATACTTTAGTGGACGGACTGGCTGTATAGTTAGAACTTTTCGTTGTAGGGCTGCTATATTCAGTTTGCCCGCTTGTATTTTTATTATCAATATTAGGTTCAACCGTTTCGATGGATGCTAAAAATTAAATGGTGAAATATTATAATCTTATTTAAATATTATAATCAAATAATTTAATTCAAAAAATGTGTTAGTCACTTATTTTTCAAGTCTATTCTGATACACTTATTTAAAATTAAGTCGATTCCATTTATCACACTATATAATATATATGTATATAATTAAATAGAAGTGCCAAAGTTTGTATATTTGTGCATTAGATTGTGTGCGTGCGTGCGAGCGTGTGTGTGCACGTGTGTTTGTATGCGCGCGTGTATGTGTGTGCGCATGTGTGTCTATAGATACTTTTTTACTTAAGTAAAGTTTAGAATTTATATAGTATATACGTCGATTGACACATTTAAAATAGAAAGAAACCTTATTTACATCTCAAAGCATTTATGACTTACTATTTCTAACACTTTCTTCAATTTGAGATTTCTGACAGTCTGTACTAATATCACCAAACAAATCTTGATTACTCGGATCTAAGTGCGGATCTTGAATATCTCGTAATAACTTTGATAGAGATTGCTCTGCTATATGTAGATCTTCAACATTGCTCAAAGAACCCTGTAATAAATGAACATGTTTAACATTATATTTAATGTTAAACAAGAAGGAATCGCAAATATAATACTTTGCATCTATTATTATATATTATTGACAAACTAAAACAATACGATAGATATTTAGTTTCCATTAATATGAATCTAATTTGATCTGTAATTTATTTATTAGTGTTTGGGATATTAACTAATAAAAGTTCAAATTTATTACACAAATTTATCTTGAGTGCGGTAAAAATTGTGGTATAGCTTTGTATGTGTAGTTGGGACGGTCCTATTTACCCGACCCGACTAGACACCCGTTTGTTTATAAAAATAAATAATGCCCTCAACTTTTTTCTTATGGGTAAGAAAAGTATTTGTATCACTCTTAAATAGATGACATAATAGTTAAGGATGATAAGATTTTTTTTTAATGGTTAACAATTTTTATTTTTTTATTATCCACCCTGAATACCTCTTTTTAAATGTTGGGAAATGCATTTACGCATACCACCTGTATACATACAGGTGGTTATGTAACACTCACCGGCTAGAAAACCAGTACTACCCACTAAAACCCAACAGATCGTTTAGGCACTCGACCACGCCGCCCCAACGGTAGGTCTGCCGAAACAGACCACAACAACCATGTGGTTGCTCCACAGTCCACTCTGGTATCAGAGAAGTACCAGGAGCAACCCGCATGGTACACCGCCCACCGAAGTGGGCCACCTCCCACTGTGTCTCTTGACTTCATGCCTGGCTGGATTTCTGGACGCTTATGAGCCCCTCCACCACGACAAGTTGAACAGACACATGGATGGGGGCCCCTGAATGCCCTCACCGATGCTAGCTAACCCAGCACTGGCTAACAAAAATCTATACTAATATTGAAATGAAATATTCTTTATTGCACACCATTATTTTACATTATATAGTTGAAACAGATTAAAGGAATATAGTACAATAGGCGGCCTTATCGCTAGAGAGCGATCTATTCTAGACAACCTTTGGGTAGAGAGAAAGAAGAGAAAAGGAAGGGGTGCAAACAATCTTAAAGAGAGATACAGTAAATACATACATATACAAACAGATATATACATATATACCATATATATACATACGTACATACATACATACATACACACATATAAACATTATACATATAAAATAAAATATGACACCATTTAGCACTTATAAGTTAAGATAATATTCATTTATTAATTTTTTAAATAGTGACAGCGAATCAGCCTGTTTTACTTTATTTGGTAACGAGTTCCACAGACGGACAGATTGGACAGTAAAGGAGCGAGTATAGAAGGAAGAAGAGTGTGAAGGAACTTGTAAAGTTAGATTAAGGTTAGAACGAAGAGAAAAATGGTGAGAATCACTTAAAAATTTAAACCTATCTTTAAGATACTGAGGTGTACAGGGATTAAATAGAATATTATATAAAAGACAAAGAACGTGAGTATTTCTGCGAAGACGGATAGGGAGCCACTTGAGCTTTTTACGAAATTCGGAAACGTGGTCATATTTACGAAGTCCAAATATGAACCGAATGCAGAGATTTTGAATTCGCTCAAGTTTATTTAAGAGGATTGTGAAGTGCCGATACGCGGCGAGAGTAGGTATTTTTAAAAATGCTATCTGTTTCATACCGCTTTGCATCCCCCCGGCAGTGAACAACACAAATACAACATACGCAAATTCTCACACACACTATGATAGCAGCAGCCGGTGACGCGCGGGCGCTTTCGGGGGGCGGGAGCGGGGGCGGCGCGACTCGGCGCAAGAGCAATTTCAAAGTTTATCTAATATTTATTATTTTAACGGTTTGCGTACAATATACATTCCCTACAAGTTACATCGCACCTTTATTCATAAACTGAAATAACTCTAAATTACAATTCTGTGGCGAATATCATTTAAAATTTGACTTGTTTAGATTGATGACTTCAAAAAATCATAAAAAAATAAATAGGTGGTTTAGATCAATTACAAAAATCTCGTTCCAAAAGTTGAAAGTTATAGAATTTTTTGTTGTTTATGTAGGTACTAATAGACCCATCGGAATCCTTTTATTGTTAAAATAATTATTTTATTGAAAACCTGAAGTTTTATGATTTTATAATGTTAGCAGGTATATAAGGAATAGAAATTCATAAAATTACCTGATCATGAATGATGATGATTTACGATTTTTTAACATATCTATGACTAAATTTTATAAAATATATCAACTTAATTTTTTAAAATATATTTTTAACTAATGAATAAACAAGATTAGATTACGAATGATTTTCATTTCTTTCTGTAATTGCCCTAAAATCATTTTTTTCAGAAAAATCAATAAAATTAACTCCAAAAACTAATAAAATATCGATAATTTCGAAAAAATTATAACGAATAGTATGTGTATATATATATAATTATACACATACTATTCGTAATAATTTTCATAAAATTATAACGAATATTATAAATTATAACGAATATAGAATGAAAAATATAAATTTTACAAAAATAAAAGTATTTTTATTGCTCCTTCTAAACGGTAATAGTCCAGCAAAAGAAAGCGCGTGACCGGTGGAGGGCGAGGGGTGGAGGGGTGTAGGAAGTGGTCCTTACTCATTCAAACTTGGCCAGATATAATGATGATGATGATATAGAAAATATTTTTATTTTTGTATGAAAATGAAAATTTAAGAAATATTTTTTTTTCTTGTTACAGAGGTTGTTGTTATGATGTAAATAGTATATTCCCAAAAGGTCTTCAGTAAATTAAAAATGACCCTGTATATATATATATATATATATATATATATATATTTATATATATATTTATATATATATATATATATATATATATATATATATATATATATATATATTCAGTTTTGTATTTTTTCTCAGAAATGAGATATTTTCCCGCGGTAATGCTATAATATGTTGATCCGGATAACCAGCTACCACCATACCAAATTTCATCAAAATCCCTCCAGTGGTTTTTCTGTGACGTGGTAACAGACAGACAGACATACAGACAGACAGACAAAAATTCAAAAAACTATAGATTCGGCCTCTGTATCGATAATAATGTTTATTTCAATAATATTTTCCAAAAAATATTTAATGTACAGATACGGCTTAGTTACAATCTATACATACGAGTATAATAAAATTCTAAACTTTGGATTGAATCCTTTCAGTATCGATCGATATATCGATATTACCTTCTCCTCCCTAGGAGATAATAATATCGATAGCACCTTCAACATCACTACAGTCTAAAATATGCCCCTGCCCCCGACCCGTATGGTGCGATAGAGAGAGTTGCAAGTCTTAGACTCAATTACCTACATTTCCTTTTTGAAATATTGTTTCGGGCGATAACGTTTTCACCCCCCTAAACATTAACGAAATGAGACGATTTTGGTCTCATTAGATTCAGTACACCTTAATCTAGGTCTGTACGTTTTCCTTTTTTTGTAATTCAGTTTAGTTTAATTTAAAAAAATAAAAACGCTGGAGGAAGTTTTTAGGTCAAAAATATAGATATTTAGATGCTAATAACTTCTGTCGTACGCAATATTTCAAAAAAATAAAAACGTACGGACCTAGATTTTGATTATATCTACAACATTTCCAAAAATTATGAAAATTAGACTATGTTTAAGGGGGGAAAAACGTTATCGCTTTTTGTATGAAAATTTACAGGTTCACAATCCTCTTAATTGTTCCTCTCTTAAATCGAGGTAACAAGTATCAGCATAGTCAAGAATTGGTAATAAAAGAGTGTAAGCCAAGGCAATTTTAGTGGGAATGGGTAGAAAGTTGCGTAAGCGACGTAATGATGCAACGGCAGCAAACATTTTTCTGCTCACTTCGCCCACCTGTGACTTCCAAGATAATGTCTCGTCCAATATAATACCTAGATTTCTCACTTTATCACTGTAAGGAATTTGTATACCGTCAAGCATAATAGGTGGTAATTGTGATAAAGATATTTTTGATTTTAATTTTGAACTACCTATAATTATAGCTTGTGTTTTACCTGGATTCACTATTAAGCCTAATGATTTACTTTTTTGCGAAATATTAAGTATTAATATGATCGATGGCTTGAGTTAAGTTTAATACGGTCGTTTGGCGGTAGATTTGTAGATCATCTGCATAGAGGTGGTAGGGAGAAGAAATATAGTTAAGAGAGAGTTAATAAATATAGAAAATAAAAGAGGAGACAACACGCCACCTTGAGGAACACCGGCATGTAGCGAAATCCATTCAGAGCAAGAATCGTGAATACGGATTCGTTGCCGGCGACCATACAAGTAATTGTGAAACCAGTCAATCACATCTGGAGATATGTTAAGAGAACACAATGTAGCAAGCAGAATATCAAAATCAACAGTGTTAAAAGCGTTACTAAAATCTAATAGTGTCAAAACTGTGACTTGTTGATTTTCCATTCCTAGTCTGATGTCATCTGTTATTTTAACGAGTGCAGTAGTCGTGCTGTGACCATAACGAAAGCCGGATTGCATAGGATTTAGTAGATTATGATTTGAAAGGAAATTACTTAGTTGATGATGTACAAGGCGCTCGAGCACTTTGGATAAAAAGAGTAGAATGGAAATAGGACGATAGTCGGAGAAAGTAATGAGATTGTTTTTTTTTTGGTAAAGGTATTACTTAACCTCTTTCCATGCGGATGGAAAACAGCCAGTATTAATAGAAAAATTAAGCATGGAAGTTATGACAGGGATCAATATATCTAATAAAGGAATGATCATTTTACGATTAATGCAGTCAGAGCCAACCGCATCAGAGTTAATTGCCACTATGTGTTTCCGAACATCACATTCTGTAAATTGACTAAATTTAAAAATGGGAGAATCAGGAGTGGCCAAAGCGAGAATTTGATTTTTAGTTCTTAATTTAGATGTACTATCAATTGTACTGAACGATGAGAAATGTTTGTTTAATTGATTTAGATCTATATTTTTGGAGGTTATATTTTGTTTTGCCTTTCCAACTCCAAGAGATTTAAGATAGTTCCAGACTTTTACTGTATTGTCTTCTTCGACAACAGATTTATGAATATGGCGTCGTTGACTATCCCTACACACCCTATTGCAATGATTTCTAGCTTTAACATATTTTTGCCGATTGATATCACTTGCATTAGTTTTTAATTTAGCTTTAGCAATGTTTTTCTTTTCTTGAAGCTTTTTAATGTCTACAGTAAGCCAGGGTGCTGGAAGATGTTTAGTACGTACAGGTCTAATAGGCGCATGAATATCATAAAGAGATAATATTATAAAGAGGTAAAGTTTGTTAGTTTATGAGTTTGTGACATTGTACGGGATAGTCTCTGGATCTACTGAATCGATTTAGATGAATTTAGTAAGAAGATAGTTTGAGACCCTGGGAAGGACATATGATACTTTTTATCCCGAAAATCATCCCTTAAGGGGGTGAAAATGGGGATGACAGTTTGTGTGGGGAATCAATTTAAATAAAAAAAAGACATACCTGCAATGTATCAATTAAGTACACTCCATAGCTATACATTTCCATATATTTATTCGGACTTATATCAGCTTTAATTTTACCTGGAAAATTAACGTTAATTTACTTATTCTAATTCGGGATCAATTTTAAGCAAATTCCTACATTCATAAAATATTTTACCTCTTAAACCACCAATTTCAAATAGAACATCAGATAATTTGGTAGCAGCGTCAATTACGTCGTTAATATTGCTAAATTTTCGTTTCACACATTCTACTGCTTCATATATATTCCATGGCGGAGGCATAGTGTCTAGAACATATGGCGGATCTATTTGCAACACTTGAGTTAAAACTTCCTCCATTATTTGAACGAATCGAGATATCCATTCGTCGCATTTTATTTTCAAATTATTTTCCATAGCTTGACTTGTAACAACAAACATGACATGACCATCGTCATTAACATCTTCGTACTTTTTGCTTTCTGAAACTATCTCTTTAGTATTTTCATTATTTGGAATTACTGTTGGTGTTCTTTTTACATTAAAATTCTCAGGTACATTCCTATTTACGAAGCTGCTCGTTTCACTATCATTTTGATTGTTGCCATAAAAAATGGATCCCATAGATTCAGTACAACGAAAGAAGTTAGGTGATAATTTATTAGCATTAGATTCTGTTTCTTTGTTAATGATATCATCAATAGTTTGATCATCTTCAGTTACAGAAGTTTCGGAAACCATCGACAAACTAGATTTTGTTCGTCTCTTACGCCATTTGAATTGTTTCTTTGTACTATTATTGGATTTCGAAGCAATATCAAATGATGACTGACGTTTTAACTTGATTCCTTTTTTTTTATTAAATTCAGTATTACAACTGGTTTGGTTCGCAACATCTTGCCATGTGTTTATGTTAGGATTTTCCTCTCTAGTATCAAGTTCTATTGAATCTGTGTGTACTCCAACATCATCAATTTCCTTTTCAATTAATAGATTTTGTTCATTTGAAATATTTTTTAAGCATGCATTTGTTAATCCTTTACATACACTAGGCAATGCTTCTGTTTGAAAGAACACACTGTTATCTTCTATACCGGCGTTTACATCTATAGTTTCAGTTTCTTTCAAGTTAATTGTACTATTATCATTTGGAATAGTAATTTTTATATTTCGATTTGCTTTCGATGATAAATTTTCAGGGCTCTTAGGTATTATTTCATGTAGTGTAGGATTATTTAACATTCTTTTAACTTCCATTACTGTATATATTGAGATGCTGCTTTCACAACTGTGTAATTCTATATCATCAGTTAAAAGCACCTAAAATCAAATAAAGGAAATTAAAAATGTGAAACTTCTTATTTATGTATATTATAAAGCTCATTTAAAAAAATCCTTAAAAAGTAGACAGAGAGATAGACCATCGATTAGCCAGAACAAACAGACAGACATAGACAAAAAAATTTAAAAGTTGGGTTTTTATTTTCATATAAGTACCATATATAATTTTGGATGCACTGAATGCGGTTATTTTGACATTACAAACAGATACTTTAATTTTATTTATCTGAATAGATACTAGTATAGTATTATATGATCTGTGGTATAGATAAAATGATAAAACACTTACAACACGATTGCCTTGTTCTATCAATTTTAAACAACACTTGAGGATAGCATCTTTATAATTAACATTTTCATTTGTGTCACCATCATCTGTAATTAAATATTTTCATTCATTAACTATGTGAAACATAATTACTTTAAGATAACTAGGAAAGACATTAAAACAGTGCATACCCAATTTCTACCATTTTATTTTTGTTTACGTTAATTCAAAATACATACCTATAATGGCATAATTGTTGTCAACTTTCTGAGATATAAAATAAGCAGCTCTATGTGCTTGAGTACGAAGACGTGAATTTGTAGCATTTTGTAATTTGTTCATTACTATTCGTGGTATCAATAACCGACATTTAGTATCTAAAACATAAATTGAAATTAAATATATTTTAATCCAGGACTTGGAAAACCATTAATTTTTTTAACCGGTTTTGGTCATTGACCTCAATCTGAAAGGAATTTCGGTTTTAGGTTTCGGATAACCGTTAACCGTTATTATTTCGGTTTACTAAACCGTTCGTTTTCAATAACTGGTTAAAGAACGAGATATGAATCACCTAACCATTATATTATCGGAATAAACTGTTTTTTTTTAAACCGGTTCTGAACCGTTTTAATTTCAAGAGAAATCAAATAGAAAAGATAAAAAAAATATTCCATATAAAGATTGGTAAATGGTATATATACTACTGGCCGAACCAGATTTCAGACCAAACTGAACCATAGTATCAGTATATACTAGTTTAGCCCACGACAATCAAGTTTGGCCTAAATACTTTAAGCTAAACTAGTATATCCTGACACCCTATTGATGTACTGGTTTGGCCTGAAATCGGGTTTAGCAGGTAATATATATTAATAAGAGAAATTGCCTATTTCTTACCAGATTTCATTAAAAAATTGATGAAATTAACGTGGTTTAAGAAGACATTAGAATCTGTTACAATATACCAAGGTTCAAAATTATTCACTTGTAAGATATTTCTCAAAGTTGTATTGATTGCCTCCATAGATGTTTGATAATGCATATTTTCCTGTTAAAAAATTAAACAATAAAAATAAAGATACAAGTATATGGAGTAGCTATACTCATTCATGATAGCAGGCATTTTCTGTTTGTTTAATGACAGTGAGATTGAAAAGAAACTAACTTCCATGGTTTGGAACTATGAAGTATGTACTTAAGTAATGAACCGTTGCTTTCTCATAATATAAGTAAAGACTCAATTCATTGTGTTATAAATATGAGAACCTTAATCTCTAATCCATATTTTAATATTATAAATGTGAAAGTATGTTCGTTTGTTTGTCCTTCTTTCACATCGAAACGGAGTGACGGATTGGCGTGATTTCTTGTGTGGAGATAGTTAGAGAGCTAGAGAGTGACATAGGCTTATTACTTTTTACCGCGGGAGATTATCTAATTTCAACGAGAAAGCATGTTATAATACAATCCAAAAAAATATTTATTTCAGAACTACTTGAAACTTGGTATTATAGCTCTTTAATAAAATTAAATAAATACATGTTTTAGCATTTTTCGAAATTCATCATATAGGAGGGTTAAATAGGGGTGAAAGTTTGTAAGAAACTACCTTTTTAGAGATTTTTTGTAGTTTTAGCGGGAGCGAAGCCGCGGGTTCTGCTAGTTGATAATAAATTTGATAAATTAATACTTTTTTAGATTTACGCTAATATTTGATGTTTTAAATAAAACGATCTTTTTGTATTTTTTGCAGATATATTTTGATTTTTGGTTCCCAAAATTACAAAATAGAATATTTTGTATTCGAAACATCACAATAAATCCATGAAAAAATCCAAAAAGATAGTTTTATTTAAAATGATAAATTAAATATTTATTTATACAATAGTTAATTCAACTTACTTCTAACCAATAATCATCATCATTGTCATCCATTACATTACTCCTTAAATTATATGGCACATGTAAACTGCTACCTGACTTTTCTTCATAATGTTCAATTGTACAACCTTCAATTTCTAAAATTAATTATAATTGTAGTTCAGAAAATAATATTTTATAATTTATACAGAATGTATGTCCCTAAAATACTACAGAAAACAGTAAGATATCCTATATTTGTAAATAATTAACGAATACCTTTAAATAAACAGTTCCATATTAAGTACATTGGTATGTCTATGAACGTAACCACCCTGGTATGTTCAACAATTTATAGTGAAATAAATAAATTATACAGGAAAAATAAATAAATATAAAATAAAGAAATAAATATAGAAGTCCTCAATCCCCCTGCCACAGAATTCACATCTTATAAATCATATACCTTTTATAAACAATCCAAATGTACTGCATTTCAATAATAAGACATACCTTTTTTGGTAAAACTCCTTCTTTTGGATGTCAACAGCATTCTTAAGTCATTATTATGAGCAGGATTATTTTTATTTCTATGAAAATATTTTTTTGAGAATCCATGTCTGGTTTTTCTAGTATAGCCATTTGTGTTACTTTTACTGTAAAAAGCCTTTGTTTGCAATATATTTGATTGAGTATGTTCTTCACTAAGACTTTTAAAACGATTAGACAAAGGTATAGATGTTTTCGTTGGAACATAACCAAAATTATTAATCACAGGGTGGGATTGGTTGACATTAGCAGGATTAACAATTATGGGTTGAGCGGTAACATTCCCTATTCCAGAATAAAAAGGGGTAACAGGTATATTAAATTGTACAGGAGTTAATTGATTGTAGGGAGTAAATTGTATAGAGTTAAGTTTGGGGAATCTATTATTAATTATTTGTTCATTATAAACATTTGAAGGGATAATTTTACTGCTTGGTTGTTCTTGTTTACTTGTAGATTGTACAATTTGATTATCTTGTGGAGATTCTGAAGGTTCTGGACAATTGTCATTGAAAAAGTGTGGCTGATTTTCTAAAACTTTTGTCATCTTTTTTGCTTTCTCCATCTGAAAAAAATTAAAGAGAAAATATTTTTTTTGTTTTACAAGTCAAAATTTATTTAAATATTTGTTAAATTTACCTCAGGCTCACTTAAATTCCATACTGCTTTACCACTAAAAGTATTAAAATAATAAATGCGACCTGAATATGTTTTAGAGCGACATATAATCCATGAATCGCCCACTGATTTTACTATTTCACTAACCGACATAGTACATTTAATAAACAATATTTATCACTTTAAAAAAGATATTTTCCTCTTAATGGCATATCATAATAAATATAACTGCGTGTTTCTATCTACTTTCTGTCTTCTCTTTCGACTTCTGACCATAGACACAGATTTGAGAATACAGAATAACTAATGTTCCTTCCATAGAGCAGCGTATTCTATGGTTCTGACTTCTGACTAGGGACGGTTGGGCCGAAATTCGTTTTAAAAATTCGGTTTAACTGAATTTCGGCAGCTTGAGCCGAACTTCGGCATTTGGCCGAAATTCGGTTTGAATGCCGAACATTCGGCAATAGAAAAAACATATACCTACATACACTATTTTGACTGAATTTAATAGAAAATATGTCTGTCATAAAAATAAAATAAAATCTTTTGTATATCTACTCATTAATCCGATCGAAACCCGGTTTGGAAACAAAAATATTAAAATCTGAAGTTGTATATCTTAAAAATGTTAACAGGTATATAAGGAAAAAATCCATAAAATGCCCGTGATGTCCTGCTATCCCCGAGAAATGGGCGGATGAAAAGCGTAAGAAAATAGTTTCTTCCAACTTCTGGCTTATATTGACGTCCTATCGAAAAATGTTCTCTTCAAAAGTTGTAGTTCTAGTAAAAATCTACAACTTTTATAGATGATACTTTTTACAATAACCCCAAACTTCTCGAGATATTTGCAAAAAACATTGTTTATTTTTTTTTGGGTTTTTATTTTTCTTTTCTGCAATATTTTTTCAATTTTCATGAAACTCGGGGCACGTAATCTTCGAAATACATATAATAACCTTTTTTTTAAATTGAAATATTTAGTTGTTTCCGAGTTTATGTTTTACGTTTTCGGCAAGCCGAAATCACCCCAACTTTGTACAGTCGCTCTGTAAAAACACCCTTAAAAATTGAAAAGGTTGGAGAAATAGATAATTTTTACTTAAACTTTTCACGTATTAACTACATTTTTTAATAATCATTGAAAAAGTGTACTACCAAACTGACCTAATTTTTATAAACTGATTACACCAATGTGTACCGGAAAAACGAAAAAAGCTTTATATTTAAGTTTTTAATTTGCCGCTTATTATTTATACAATGAAAAAAAAAATTGGAAATCACGTAAAGTTTCTCTTGTAATTTTTCCCGTAGAATCTATTTATTTTATTTTTTGATAGGTTTTGGAGCGACAATCTTTTTGTTGCTTCGAAAAGTAGAGTTCAAGATAAAAAATAAAAAATATTGCTGAATTAAAAATAAAAAACCAAAAAAAATATTGAAAAATAGGGTTCTTTTCAAATATCTCGAAAACTTTAGGGTTATTGTAAAAATTGTCATATTTAAAAGTTGTAGATTTATACTAGACCTACAACTTTTGTGGAGAGCATTTTTTGATAGGACGTTACAGTAAGCCGGAAATTAAAAAACACTATTTTTAAAAGCCTTTTATCCCCTTATTTCTCGGGGGTAGCTGGACATCGGAGGAATTTTACGGATGTCTGTTCCTGGTATACCTGCTAGCGTTTTAAAGACGTTAAGCTTCAGGTTTTAATTTAATTTTTTATTCAAAATAAACGGATATCGATCGGTCTATAAGGTCAATTATTTTAGATAGGAACATGTAAGCTTGAACACGTATGCGATAAAAATTTAAATGAGTTCTTAATATAATAGTCTCCAAAATCTTTGCCCAATTAAATAGACAAAATGAAATAAACTTAGTATTCTTGTAACCAACGTCTTAATTACTATTCGTAAATTGAATTAAAAAAATATCAAGTTTTTGCTTCACAAACTAAAACCACGGTAATATATACTCAGAGGCACAATTAACCGCCCACTTACATTTTCCGATGTAACTTCAAAAATTCATTTCGGAATTAATTTTTTCTTGGCAATATTATAGATTGGATAATATCAGATATAAAAAAATAATAAACAAATCGGATATTGCTTTAATTTTTTTTAATGAAAAAAAGTTAGAAATTACCGAATAATAAACAAAAATAAAGGTGATGATAAACAATCTAAAACTTATTGTTGACATTGAAAACAAAATTTTTAATAACAAGTATTGCCTCCTCTGGCTCTTATGACCTCCTCCAGTCGATTTGGAACACCATCCATTATGTCCTGAATATCTGACTGCGGTATATTCCCCCACTCATCGACCACAGCAATCTTCAGCTCATTAATGGAGGAAGGGGCTGCAACCCGACTTCATACCCGACTTTTAAGATTGTCCCAAACATATTCGATAGGGTTTTTAGGTCTGGGCTTCGCGCTGGACAGGGTAGTCGTGCTATACCCACGGCATCAAGGTACACCACTCTAGCAAACAAAGCGTTATCATGCATTAAAAGAAAATCTTGTCCAATAAATTAGGCAAAAGGGATGACATGAGATTCTAAGACCTCTTCCACGTACCTCTGAGCGTTTACGCTGCCTCTTTCAAACACAACCAACTCTGTACGAGCCTCATAAGATTAACCACCCCATACCATTACTGAGCCACCTTGATAGCCTACTGTTTTAACAACAGCACATTGTGCAAACCTCTTACCGGGGCGTCGGTACACGCGCTGGCGTCCATCGGGACCTCTTAGAGCTACTCTGGACTCATCAGAGAAGAGGACGTTCTTCCATTACTCCATGGTCCAGTTCCGTTATTGTTGAGCAAATCGAAGTCTGGCTCTTCGGTGCTCTGTGGTCAATGCTGCAACTCGAGCTGGCCGGAATCCAGTCAAATTACGCTCTGCAAGCCTTCTTCTTATAGTCCGAATGCTTACGCTTACATTTCGTACTTCATATAGGCGATAACGGGCTTCGAGAGCCGTAGTAAAGCGATTTCTTAAAACGTTGGACACGATGAAGCGGCCATCTCGTTCAGAAGTGCACCTCCTACGACCTTGTCCTGGTTTTCTAGTGTAAGATCCAGTTTCTGTGTATCGTCGGATGGCATTCCGTATCGTGGTTCGAGGATATCGGCGTCATACGGCCTATATGACGCTGGCTATATCCAGCATCTGACAGCGCCACCGCTCTAGCTACACCGGCAGCATCCAATGGCATTTTATTGAGTAAAGTGCAACTATCAAACCCTGACGCACCTTATGAATCAAGAAATGTGTCTAAAACCTTCACCGGCAATACTTTATTTACTATGAAAACAATAAGTTGGAAAGTCAATTTTCAACTATACTCTATAAAAGAGACTTGCACTTGAGGGTATCTTTTAAAACGGAGCATAAATTGTCTTAATTTATCATAAACTACCCACTTAACAAATGGTCATTCAACTTCATAAGCGTTTAGTTATTGTAAACAAAGTTACGTCGCTTTAGCCTGGTGGGCGGTTAATTGTGCCTCTGAGTATATTATGCATTACATTACCGTGTTAAAACACTCAGAAACATTAAGTATCTTTAAATATTAGTGTCATGACATGTAGTGACTTGAAAAAGTGCGGCTAAATTGAACCAAAGTTCGGCCGAAGTTCGTATTCGGTTCAAGCCACATTCGGCCCATCTCTACTTCTGACATAATTATGTATTATCTAACACATATCGATTATCGACACGTGTCATGTCTAACTGTCTTCGATAAGAGTTCAAATCTATAAGCCATTAGAACAAAAAAAAAGAGTTCCTTCATCAAATATTACACGTCAAATTTGATAACGAATAGGTACTTTTTGTAAAAAACATATTTATTATAACTATTGAAATACGCTACAAACAACTGAAAATATGAAATAATATTAGTTTTTCTTTAGTGATTTACCTTCATAAGGCAGGCATCAAAATTCGTTGGACCAAAAAACTAGTTTTATAACGTGATTATGCAGTCATTAGTATTGCAATAGTCGTAAAAAATTCTAAGAATCACGGCGCTTCACTTGAAATTTCAACAATTTTTGATGTGTTTGTTTTTAATGTTGTCGGCATTTCATTAAATTTTATTTTATTACTAGCATTGCCCGCAGCTCCGCCCGCGTTCAGACGACCAAAAACCAAATTCTTAGGTTTTACATATTAGTATACTCTTACATGTTCTGTCTTACATGTCTCCATTGTTTTTTTTCTCAGAAATGAGACATTTTTCCCGCGGAAAAAGGATCCTAATGACCCTGACCCGGATGACCAGTTACAATCATACCAAATTTCTTCAAAATCCCTCCAGTGGTTTTTCCGTGATGCGGTAACAAACAGACAAAAATTCTAAAAACTATAGATTCGGCCTCTGTATCGATAATGTCTATTTCAATAAGATTTTCCAAAAAATATTTAATACAGATTCGGCTTGGTTACAATTTTATATTATTTACTAGCATTGCCCGCGGCTCCGCCTGCGTTCAGATGACAAAAACCAAATTAGGTTTTACATATTAGTTACATACTCTTACATTGCAGTTTTTGTATTTTTTCTCAGAAATGAGACATTTTCCCGCGGTAAAAAGTATCCTATATGTTGACCCGGATAACCAGCTATGACCACACCAAATTTCATCAAAATCCCTCCAGTAGTTTTTCTGTGATGCGGTAACAGACAGACAAAAATTCTAAAAACTAGATTCGGCCTCTTTATCGATAATAATGTCTATTTCAATAAGATTTTCCAAAAAATATTTGATGTACAGATTCGACTTAGAATTTTATTATATGTATAGATTATATATATTAATAAAACTTCTAATGTTTGCGTGTATCACTCATTGAGAACAAAATTAACTATTTTCGTCGTGTTATAATAGTGATAAAAGTGCAGCGAGCGAAGTGGTGGTGCCCACAGAGCACAATACTAAGTGGTGCCTATAGGCACCAGCGGGGTTTGACGGTAACGCCGGAAGTGGTGCCTATAGGCACCACCGGGGTTCAAGTGGTTACAAACTTCCTAGAGCGTTTTATTTTTTTTAATTAGGTATACTACACGGATTACTAAAAAAGAAAAACTTACAGACCTAGATTTATTAAGGTGTGCTGAATCTAAAGAGACCAAAAGTTTTTTTGCCTCTAAAACTGCAAGTTTTAGAGGCAAAAAAACTTTTGGCTCAAAAAAACTCAGGCTTGGCAGAGTGGTATTAAACAAATAGCATATTTTAAAAACGTTCTCACGCCGCGTACCCCCGTACCGACACTTCACAATCCTCTTAAAGTTAAACAGATTTTTAAGAATATAGAGTTAAAATTTTAGTTTCGATTAAATTGAATAGTTACATTAAAAATCTTTATCGCCTGATACATTTAAAATTATCTTGTGTTTAAAGATGCAGTAATATTCTCATAATAAAATCATTTTTTAGCTGCGTAGGTCAGGCCGCTTTTCTTTTTTTACACATAAAAACACTTCAATTTACAAATCTAAAAGAATAAGTTTTTAGCTCGGAATGTAAGGTTTCTTTTGGTATATAGAACTCATGCACCTAAAAATCACTTACTTTATATTAGAAAATAAAAAAAGTGATAGATATTTGTACAAACCAAAAATAGTCAGACAAATAATAATTTTTAATCAATCGATTATCGGACGAATAGCAACAGCCGATTTAAATAGTAATTATGATATTAGAGTAATAATAAACACTAGATAACAATGTAATTTGACATGTTACAAATCATTTTAATGGCATACTTTATATTTAAATAAATCTCCTAAATTATTCCTAATTAAATAAATTCATGCCTATCTATTAATGTGTATATTGGTATTTTTATAAGTACTTAATCTGATACAAGTTTATATTATTCATATATCTATATACAATTTTATACTTAAACATCTTTTAAATATGTTTATTCAACACATTTTGTGCTTGTTCCAGTAGGTCACCATAAATCATAACTATATAAATATCATTTCTTTATCATTTTTAACAGTAATATGTCTGAGCTTCTGTAATTTGAATGTTGTTGTTCTTCTGGGATTTTTTCAATGTAAAAAAACTCGGCAAGCTTTTCATAGAATATTTTCCACAATTTTTTTTGAATTTCTGTATCTCTTAGTTCCTGTGTCAAATATATAGTTGGTTTTTTTTTCACAGTATTATTTAAGCACTGTAGAGTTTCTATAAGGGGGTTTATAGCCTGAAAATAATAAAATCATAAGAATAACTTTTAAGTTACAAAACATAAATATATAAGATTACCAAAAGCTGTAAAATTTCTTCTTAAATTCTTATAATATTTTAATTTGGTAAAATATAATAATATTATATTTTACCAAATTAAAAAATTATCTTAGTAAAACATTAGTTACAATACTATTAGTTCAACTCATAAGATATGGCAAATTGATCCTAAGAATGTGCAAGCAATAAATAAAGTAAATTAGTGTTAGTTATTACATCTTCATAGTAAACACAGTCAGCTAAAACAATCATATCAAATTCCTGTTTATGAATTTCAGAATTTTTATCACCCCATACTAGTGATTCTGCAATGGCATATCCTCCCATACTAGCAATTTTTTGTTTATTTTCTGATATATTTAAACGAAGTAATGGTAATGCTTCTGGTAAATCAGTCAGAGTAACCTGAGCTCTAAAACAAATTATTTATGAAAATAGTGTGCGTGTGTGTTAAATGAGAGCATATAAAATTATAATAATGCTAACCCTAATGTAGCGGCAGTAAGCCCTACTACTCCTAATCCAGACCCTAATTCTAATACCCTTATACCACTCAAGAAATCTGGTTTCGACTGGCACATTGTTTCAAGGTATTTTGCTAAAACTAATGAAGCATCCCATACTACACAATTAACATCACCTTCCAATTTTTGATATATTTTCAATGTTTTTAAGCATACTTCTATATCTATCTCTCTAGGAAATAAATCACTTAATTGAAATGCAGAGCTTCTATGAGACATGTGCGCAGATTTTTAAGGAACTTAGTAAGTAGTGAATCAAATTGGATTTTCACCAAAACCGTTCTTTAGATGTACAAGTTTTCCAAGAATATTGATTTTATTAAAATTTCAAATTACTACGTAATGGATACTCTATGCGTTTTGCGATTTATAAATTAAAAACTTGAGTTATCTAACGTAGATAAATAGAACCATCGTATTTATTTATGTTATTACTAATTAGTAATTTCAATCAAAAACGAGAAAGTAACACTAATCTTTTAATTTTCAAATACATATGCCAGCAGTCAACTTCCCAGTTTATAACTATACTCTTTGGTCAACACTGAGCACAGAAGTTAGAACCACAGATATTTAATAATTTATAATTATCATTTTAAATTGGCAAGATTTCTTGAAGGAGAGCGCCACACGTATCGCCTATTTACATTCAATCATAGGTTAAAATATATAAATATTGTGATTTCTTCAGTTTTTGTCTTTTGGAAACAAATCATATCCATTTTCTTTGTATCATGGCACTGCACTATTTGTCATTTTAATTAAATTTTACACAAAATGAAAATAAAATCATTTTCGCTAAAGAGCTTTACAATATATTGATGGCTATAGTGATTACGACATCTGGTGGGAGAAAAGGCAAAATTCTTCCTCATTTGTCTATGATTTTTGTTATGCTGGGTTCACACCGATCCAACGAACGGCAACGAAGGATTTTCAGGGTTGGCTACTGGCTACCGCACGTTCGTTGGCCTTCAAAGGACGTCCAAATACATATAGTGGTCGAGCAAACGATCGTTGGCACCTGATTCCGGCTTGCATTTGCAATTTGATCATGGACGACGCGACGACTAAATAATTATAATTGTTAGTTTTATATACTTTATCGAGTTAGCAATGACAAGAAAAATTAAACGAATCATCATTACTCTATTCTTTGTTTTTCTTCATAATTGACGTGTACGGCGGGAAATATCTTATATATTACGTTAGACGTCTGCACGCTACGCTCTCACTTCAAAGGAGTCATTTGTTCGTTAGCCTTCGGCTGCCGTCCACATTGAGTTCGATATAATGGTTCGATTCCTTTGATATTACCGCCACACTTCGGATCGCAGGCGAACGAACAATCGTTGGGGTTCGCTAAGTCGTCCAGGCAGGGCCAATGGACATTCTTTGGCGTTCGTTGGGTCGGTGTGTACTGTGTATCTAGCATTACACACGCAATACATAGATAACACGAACAATAATTGATTTTCAACTAATTCTATTCTGCAAATCTATAGGAAATCAGCGATAAGAATCATGGATAATAAATATATGTATGAACCATAAACTGCAGATCAAATGTTTTACTATTTTGTTTTCTACTTTTCAATCGTTTGAATAAGGCAGTGGTAGCCCAGTGGTAACGCGCTCGCTTGGAAAACCGAGTGATGCGGGTTCAAATCCCGGGTCTCGCACCTCTGATATTTTCATGTGCGAATCATTTCTAACATGATGACCACTTGCCTTACGGTGAAGGTAACCATCGTGAGGAAACCTGCATGTCTGAGAGAACCCAGCAAGTTTTCGAAAGACATGTGAAGTCCGCCAACCCGCACTTGGCCAGCGTGGTGGACTATGGCCTGATCCCCCTCGTATTGAAGGGAGGCCCGTGCCCAGCAGTGGGACGTTAAAAAGGGCTGAATACAACAATACAATCGTTTGAATTAATATATTAGTGATATATATTTTTTTGTAATTTTACATTCAAAATAGAGTCTACTTAGATAAACATGAGAGTAAAAATCATTATAATATTATTTAAAAACTTGATATGTAAATGGTTCTTTCATTTACTTTTAACCTTATATGCATCATTGAGGGGATTTTCTTTTTAAAGATAATTTTGCTCTTTGAACTGAGCTATTAATTTATAAAATACTAGTTCACACGAATCTACCGAAATATTTTAAAGGTATATAAATAAGATTACGTCTACAGACGTAGAGTACACTCTACATTATCTTTGTCAATATATTATTTTCATTAGGCAAGACTTTAATCATATGACAGTCAGCCACTAGTTTTCGGGCAAAATGGGTGTAACAATGGGTCTTTTTTGGATTACCCTTGTATTATCAATAATTGGTAAGTAACCAGAATATATATTAGCTAAAAATAAAGTTACAAATATTATAAAACATTTTTTTATTTTAGGATCTAATGCTGCTGGCCAATTTAGCGTTTTGCACAGCCCTCCATCATTGAAGTTTACAGGACACAGTAAAACGTTGGAAAGTCTCTTGAAAGAAATATTTTCTGCATCTCTTGGACTGTCCGTTGAAGAGGTATGAAGTTACTTTACAGAAAAAGAAAAATAATATGTATATTGTGCACGTGATATTCTTATTGATTTCCAATAGAGTAGCTGACAATTTTATGTAATTTCCATTTTCAGAATTCCGAATGGGACGGCTTATCTATCGTAGATCCATTTAATACTCCTGAAGCGGTTGTTGAAGTGTATATCGATGGGGTATCGTCATTAGGAGAAAATGTAATATTTATGATATTTTACTGGAAATGAGAGGTACATTTACATAGAGAATTATGAATGTTTGTAATATACATATTTTTTTTCAGACTGGACTCAAATCTATAAATTTCCCTTTGACTGTTGATGAATATGAACCAGATACCTATGATGCTGTTAGACATAGAATCAAACAACGCTTTACAAATGGTGGTAACAAACTTGTTAACATAAGGTTGTCAAACCCAGATGATGTAAGTAGTAAGAGCTATTCTTTAAAATATATTAAGTTCATATTTAAACTAATAATAAATAAATTAAAATATAATATTATGTTATTCTTATTTTAGTTGATATCATCAAGCGTGTTTGGAGAGATTGTACCCCCAAAAGTAACTAAGCAAACTTTACAGCATTTGAAATATGACAGTGTTGAAGAAGATTATCAATTTATTTATGAACTAGAAGTACTCAAAGCTATTACTGCAAAGGTAATACTCCTACTAGTTTGAAAGATTGTAGCTTCACACAAAATGAGTACATTTTTTTAATTAAATATGGCTCTTCTGTAATCACATAATATAAGTTGTTCAGATCTTAATTCTAAAAAAATATATATAAATGAATATTAATAATTGATTTCAGATCAGGTCTGGTGCTGTTTCTGCTGACAATATTGTTGATTTCTACAACATTAGGTTCCGGTCATTGCATGCTCTTTCTGACTATCATGGTCCTAATTCACTTCAAGCTAAAGAAGCAAAAAAACTATTGAGTAAGTTATCTTTACATTAAATTGAATAAAACAAATGCTATAAAGACACCCACAACATTCTTTCCATTACATACAATATTATTCACTTAAAGCAGCCAGCTTCAAATGAATTCTTGTAATTGTTCTTAATATGTCATTTTTGTTTATTAATAAATTTCTTTCTTTTAAGTTAGGCATTATTTTTTATATATGTTTTTAAAACAATAGAACTAAGATAGCAACATCATTATTTAAATATTTAAAGTAAATCTGAAACTAAATCTATATCAACACATATTCTCATATAAAAATGTGTGTTATCTCACATAATATGTAAAAAAATTGACTTATTACAGGTGATGCCCTCCAAGATCTAAGCAACGCATTAGTAAAAGCCTATGATGGATCAGTGCTGGTTACAGCTGTGACCACAGATGTAGCTCACACTCGCCGCGCAGTTCGATCTGTATCACCTGAAACTAGGATGCCAGCGGTAACTTATTTTATTTTAATTAGTACCTGGGCTACCGAGCTTCGCTCGGAGTTTTTGGCCTGCAGTACAATTTTATTTTTTAAAAAAACAAAAAACGTGAATAAATATTAAAAAAAAAACAAAGTAAAAACTTTGTATGCGACCGAGATTCGAACCTGGCCACCTGTGATTGTTGATCTTGCACCTTGGCCGCTTGACCATGATGCTTATGCCCGAGCTTGCAAATTACCGACCATATTTTATGTGGAATAAAGAAAAAGAAAACGGCTTAACAAAAACTGAAAAAAATATTTTATGCCCGCTGCATAAAATGTCTGCGTGTAAGCCCGGTCTTGTGACTTACCGTAGTTTCTGTACTCAAACTGCATTTGGCCTTACATTAAGAAATAGGACCGTTTGGCAACAAAGAATATTTCAAGTTGATTAATCGTTTTTCGTTGTTTAAAGTTTTTGGCAACTTCTGTCATTTCTAGTACTCATACTTTAAATGGTCCCATAGAATCTTTTGATCCCTACATGAAATAGGATGGATTGACATTAAAAAGAGTTTTTTGTTATTTTAGCATTTTTTTCCCTAACTAATTTTTTTCCAAAATCTGTGAATGCAGTTCAGAATATTTCAAAAAGTTATGGATGGTCTCCTAGGAACGTTTTCCTGTAACTATAGCAGTTAAGGTACCGGCCCTTACTGTCCCGTCTCAAAAATCCACCTGTATAATGCCTTTGAAAAAATAACACCTTAGTCTTTCCCGTGACCATGATTGCTATAAAGTATTCGAAACGTCAGGAACCAAAAATCAAAATAAATTCGTGAAAAAAACCGAAATGATAGTTTTATTTAAAATGTCAATTTTGTATTATTTGTGTCACAAATATTTTTTTGTTTATACTACGTAGAACAGTATATTATAGAAAAAGCTCGTATTTTAAAATATCTACTTTCTGACCGAATAACAAAATAGAGCCGTCTACCTGTTAATTATCTCTTTCATCTCTAATATTTATCCTCTACTAGCAGTACCCGCGGCTTTGCCCGCGTTCACACCACTAAAAAAACAAACTCTGACACACCGACTGCAGCGTTACCTACCGGGTCCATTTGTGAATTTAAATTTTAAACCTTGCAGGGACCCACGCAAACATACACAAAAAATATCATTAAAATCGTCCCTGCCGTTTAGGAGATCAGTGACATATCGACAGCAGCGCCACCTACCGCGTCCAATTGTATTTCCAAACCATCCAGGGGCCCATTGAAATACATATACACACAAAAATCCATCCAAATCGATCCAGCCCTTTAGTAGGAGTAAGGTGAACACAAGTAAACACACATACAGAAGAATTATATATATTATGATGTATGTGAACATGGGGACGATCAAATATTTCAGTTGCAAGTTATACTCCACATACACATGTATTAGAAGTTCTTAAAATGCAACGTCATTTTTCTTTATTTATATAGGAAGGACTTCAAAATCAGAATCAGAATGAAACCAAAACAGTTAGTTTATGAATTGTTTTTAGTTATAATAAAATTATTTCAAATCGCAAATGTAATAAAATTGGTAGTCTATACATATTTACATATTATATAGATAGTTACTCATCAATGTTTAACAGGAGTAAAAATTATTTTATAGTAATATTGGGTAATAAAAATTAGATATATTGATAGAATATTATGGTATTTTTTCTTACTAGTATGAGCGATTGTTTTAAATTAGATTTGTATTTGACATGTCATGTATGAATGTATCCTTTAGAAGTTTAGACAGTTATTTCTTCAACAACAATGAAACATGAAAAATGAGACAATTAATTTTTTCAGGATGACGATAACTACACCGCAGATTATGCCGCCATTTTCAACATTATGCTGTGGTTCGGGGTGGTGTTCGTTTTCACACTAGTATCTATTGTATACGCTATCATGGACATGGACCCCGGCAGGGATTCCATCATCTACCGCATGACGAATACTAGAATGAAGAAAGATAACTAAAGTATTAACATTTGTGAATTTAATTTCACGTAATAGTTCTTAATTTCTTCAAGTATAAAACATTCGAATCCGCGATGCGGAAAATTCCCTGTATATTGAAATTTACATCCAATGTTGTATAAACGAGGTAACATTAGGTGATAACTCGTTAACTTATTGTATTAATAAGTGTAAAATAGTGTTATGAGAGTTGTAATTTTATGTTCATGAAAATAAATGTTTCGTTAAATAACTGTTGTGTTATTGTTTCATACCCCTAAATGTATTATCGTTGTATTATTAACATTAAGGAAAAAACTAAAAAAATGTTTTTTTTTAAATATCTCTAGAACTTTGAGGTAATTGAAAAAAGAATTATTTATAAAAGTTGTAGATTTTTACTAGACCTACAACTTTTGAAGAGAACGTTTTTCGATAGGACGTCACGGTAAGCCGGAAACTGAAAAAAAACTATTTTTCAAAGCTTTTCATGCCCCCGACTTCTTAGCTTTTCATCCCTACATGTCTCGGGGGTAGCTGGGCATCGGGAGCATTTTACGGATTTTTGTTCCTTATATACCTGCTAATGTTTTGAAGATATACAACTTCAGGTTTTAATTTTTTTGGTCCCAAACCGGATTCCGATAGGACTAATGAGTAGTAAAAGACTTATTTTATTTTAATGTCATGACATACATGCTTTCTATTTATTTCAAACCGAATTTCGGCCGAATGCCGAAGTTCGGCTCAAGCTGCCGAAATTTGGTTAAACCGAATGTAAAACGAATTTCGACCCATCCTTAAAAAAAATATGGGGGCTACCATATTTCATTGTTTAGGTGATTTTTTTTAATCTTCTTTTTCTGCAATACCCATATTCAAATTAAAAGGCTCATATTAAGGATTCCAAAAAGGTATATAACATCAGTTAAAATAATTTAGGATAAAAAACTACTAAATAAAACTTCAAATCTCTAATTGCCAACAACTAAAAAGCTGTAAATTATAAAAAATATTATAAAAATAAAAAACACGACTGCATAAAAGCTAACTAAAAAGATAAAAACAAGCTGACGAAGGAATATGTACATACATCTTGCAGCAAGGATGAAATGTGTACGTCTCCAACTAATTATTACTATATTCCTTTGTGAACTTGTTTTCTTCTTTTTAGTTAGCTTTTATGTAGTTGGGTTTTTTATTTTTATATATTTTTTTCACAGCTGTTATTAACAGTTCATTCTTCATTTTCCCTGATGGCGGATGTTATAGACGTAAAGTAATTCTTTATTAATACAATATTCGAAGGGAAAGTCAAAATTGTTATGAGTCACTTAACAAAAATTTGAATGGATTCCATTTTTTCCTAGGAAATAAAAGATGTAAAATATATAAAATGCTTTAAAAAAAAAAACAAAACATTTTTGTTATATGTTATTTTTTATTTAAGCACCACAGAATATAATAATTATTAGTATATAGTTTTTTATAAAATATTAAATTTTCTATATAATTTTACCATAAAATACGAAACATAAACTGATACCTTAAAAGTATTTAGGAATAGAGCAAAACGTACAAGCACGATTTTATAAGGCACTTAATATTTCAATTCTTTGTCATCTGAGTAAATACGAGGTAGAGGTGTAACAATTATGTCATTCTCAAACTTTGTTTTGTTTAGATTTTAAGTCCAATATATTTGGTATTTCAATGATAGAGCAAGATCCCAGGGCCACCAGACGTCACGTATTTTCTGACGAACGAAATGTGGACGATTGGGTAGTGTTAGTATGTACTAAGATCGCATGCCTACTTGCTAGCTTGGCGAGACGGCTAGTTTCCACGTATCAGGTAATCAAGGTAAATAAAAACATTACTTACCTCAGGTAAATTCCACAAGCTGATTTTCACGTATATTTTAGACAATATCGTTAAAAATAAGTCTTCAATACTCCCAGACACTTTCCGTCGGCCGGTACTGCTTTGCAGATGCTTTAAAGGTCTCAAAATAATTACTTAACTTCCACGTAAATTCTGATGCTCAATTTTTATATATGTTCGCCAGACAACTATTTTAAAACCTTTTACAAGAAGACAGACGAATCCAAGGGGTCAATTATCCCCTAAACTCAATTTTTCTACCCACAGAGGCATTAAAATTGAGTTTAGGGGGATGATTGGCCCCTTGAATCGGTTTTAAAATAGTTGTCTGGCGAACATATATAAAAATGGAGTATCAAAATTTACGTGAAGTTAAGTAATTATTTTGGGACCTTTAAAGCGTCTGCAAAGCAATACGGCCGACGGAAAGTGTCTGGAAGTATTGAGGACATATTTTTACTCTTTTGAGGTACCTTGATTACCAGATACCTGGAAATTGACCGTCTAACCAAGTTAACAGGTAGGCATGCGATCTTAGTACATACTAACACTACCCAATCGTCCACATTTCGTAAATACATATATTTAGTAAATACGTGACGTCTGGTGGCCCTGGGATCTTGGACTATGACATGTATGCACGATTTCCTATAATGTTTATGCTATCATTACAACAGTAATGTAAAATGTAAATATTATTTTATAAGATCAATTCCATACATAATGTGAATATTGCTGTCCATTTGTCTGCAGAAAATATCTTCTAGTAATTCTATGTCATTTCCTGACTTTGTAACTACTTTAAACTCTCAATAACTTATGTATACACAAAAATTATGAATATATAACATTCAGAACTTGAAATAATAACCAAATTGCAAAGTAGTCTTAATTTTCTTTGTTCAAACTACGTACAGAATTAATCTAATTGAAATAAACGTATTTTGTTATACATTGGCTTTAATTAAAAAATAAAAACATTTTACACCTGTAAACCTTGCTTTATCATTCTGACATCTACTATTAAAACATTACTAACTGGTTCATTAAGTTATACTTCATTATTACATAATATGGCAGGCAGTTAAAGGCTTTATATTAATAATATATTCATAATCGTTAATATTTATAGTAAATCTAAATTATGAGATTAACATTGACTTAACAATAATATGAATTTCGTTTAAAATTTTATTAATAATTTCAGTTCTTAGTAGAATACTTACAACTAAATTTAGCGGCACAAAAAATTAATTTTATTTTAATAATTATATTTGTCACTGAATGTAGATTATTATGATTATTTTAAATTGAATTTTATAGCAGAACATTGTTATTTAACTTATATAATCTAAAAATATATTTCTTATACATAAATATTGTATGCAGAACAAAAATATTAAATTAATAATATAATATTGTATAGTTCATACATGAAGAGAATGTTAAGGAAAATGCAGTAAATTATTTAATATTTAGTTGAAATATCTCAAGTAGAACCAGACAACTTTAATAGTTCTAAAATATTCTTAATGTAGTAAACTCTATTGTAGTGTAGAAATATTATAAAAATATTTGTTTCATTGTTAATTATATAAAAAAAATTGGATTGTGCGAATGGGAATTCGTACGAGATCATTAGGCCCTAAGAAAAATCGTCCGTTCATTAAAAAAGTACAAAAAAAATGATGAATTTTGTTCTTTTTCCGTATCGTAATGTGCGAACGTCGAGTTGCCAACAAATAATCAGCTAGTGTGCGACTTGAGTATTGTATCATACGTGTTTCAAAATGGGAGAAGGGCCTAACAATCTTATCTTTTTTACTTTAAATAAAAAGAGAGTAAGTTATATAATCGATTCATTAAAAATCGATTTTTAATATTTAGAGAATCGATTATAAAAAATCGATGATAACAAAAAAATAATCGATTATTTCTTTGAATTCCGGCGACAGCGCCACCTAGCGGCGCAGCGTGTAGTTGTGCGCGCGCCGCAGCCGACGTCGCAGCTCGGCGGGCAGGCGCTCGTAGCAGCGGCGGCAGGCGGGCCGCTCGTCGTACTCGTAGAACTTGCTGCGCGTGCTGAGCGCCGTGTCGCACAGCGCGCACGCGAAGTGGTGCACGCACCACGCCTTGTTCAGCGCCGTGAATACTGCCGCCCAGCGTGATAGCACGTGTCATTATTTATACATACTAGTTATTCCTATCGTATTTGGTTAAATATTATTTAAGTAATTTGTCCTAGCTTCATCGTCATACTCTATCTGTGTACTAAATTTCATCAAAATCCGTCCAGCTGTTTATGTGAGATATAACAGAGGTCCAATGTTACAGGAGAAAAAGAAATAAATATTCATTTTATGCTGTTCCATACTTTTTGTTATTTGTTGATTTTCATGTGATGTGTTTTGAATATTATGATTTGCTTTAAATGAGATTAAAAAAATATATGAACAACTCTATAATGAAAGTAATACAGACAGTAAAAATGTAATGAAGATCAAGTTGTACATTAAATCTTCCTTAACATTTATGTTTAATTTAATGGAACTATAACTATTTTAGCTCTGCTTATTTAATTGATAAAAAATCCCAAAATCTCATTAGAGTCACTGCTTGAAAAAAATAAATGAATAAATTTGTCAACCCATACCATCTCCAGCAATAACTTGGTTGCACACATAACAGAGGTTGCCGAACAGCTGGTGGTAATGCTGCTCGCAGTACGCTAAGCCTTTCTTCTCGTAGTGGCGGTGGCCGTGGAATGGCTTCTCACATTTGGCGCATACGAAATGCTATGAAAGGGAATAATTTTCATTAGTTTTGCCCATGACTCCTGTTTAATTTTCCAATTCAATTCATTTTTTTTGTTAATAGAATAAATGTTTAAAGGATTGTATAATTTTGTAATCGTAGAGATGTCTTTTGCACACATTTAATAATGTTTGTGCAAGTAGCCAAGTCTCAAAAGAAATTCAGATCCTTTATATACTATTTGGATTTAATTCCCCATCATTTAATAAATTTAAGTGGTAAACAAATCATAAAAAAGAAAAGCGCCATCTGTAAATATGCATCCGATACCTATATACTTAATTGCAGACTTTTTGATAATCAGTAAAATTATGCTCACTAATCACTCAGTTTATTTTTTAAAACCTTAATGCACCATGTTGATGAACAATGAAGATAAATCTTTTGTTAATTTTATAAAATTTTAATAACATGACACAAGGAATATAATATATGTAATGCTATCTATTGATATTTTTTTAAACTAATTTCTCTTTCTGACGAGACCCCATGCTTTTATATACGGTTTCTAATAATAAGTAATAAATATAATATTATGTGCTATAATTTATGTTTTATTTTTAAGTGGAAACTTCGCTGGTTTATGTATTATTTATATCTGATTAATTCTAAGTGTTATTGTACTGTATGTTTCTCAAATATTTTAAAAATAAAAATAAAAAAAATTATTACCTCAACATGCCAATGTTTTCCCAAGGCGGTGACAATTCTCTCTTCTATAGGGCGACGACACGCGCCGCATATAGGAATACCCATCTTATCATGGCAACGTAGACAGAAGAGATTGTTCTGGAATTTTAATATGAATGCTTTTTATTTTTAAATTGTCGATTTCTATACTAAATATATTATATATTGTACAGTACCACTAAGAACATCACAAAAATCATTCCAAAATCCATCAATATCCTTTTTTAGGGTTGGTCAAAAAAAACCTGTTTTTAATTAATTGAAAAAAAAAACCCAAACAATTCCACTAAAACATCGTTGGCTTTTACCGTTGGCCAAAATGGTAAAATTCATTTTTTTACATCAGGTGAAAAAAAAAAACAATCTCACTAACAACATCGTTGGCGGCGTATCCCGGGCGGTTCTTGACCTCGCGCGCGGTGTGGTCGAGCTCCACGCCGCAGGTGGCGCACGCGAAGTGGTAGCCGTGGTACACTTCGCCGCGGTAGCGGAGCGGCTCCCCGTCTATCACGCCACTGGGTTGTTTGATTAAACATTAATTCTACCGTCATAATAGAGACAGCCCTAATCAGGGCCGCCAGATCGTATAATTGGATACGAAAATTGTAAAATATTGTTATTTTATGTTATTTTTTTTTTCGTCACAGAATATGTTCTCAACAGTTTTGTTAATTTGTATAATAAAATTTAATTTGGTATAATTTGAGTGACCCAGCTGTATAAAATAAGTTGGTTCTACTGGCAGCAGTTGTCTCTACTGGCCCTAACTAACAATTTGGTCAAAAATGATTTAAATTCTTCTTAATTCGATAGTCTTACTCATAAATCTCTAAGTCTTATAAATCTGGGGATACCATAACCATTTTCATACTACAACTACATATTATAAACTACTACTAAGTACTAAGACAAAACTTTAAATATCTCGAAATCAACTTTGACGAAGTTGCGGCCTTCTTTTTTAAGACGGCAGAATTAATATGTTAATTAACACTTACATCTTCTCTATAAAACAAAACAAAATCTAAAAAACATCTATCTAAACTTTTATTCAGATTCTTATCCCACACGCTTAAGACTTGAAAAAAAAATAACCTTCAGTTACATATATGGAAATATAAGGATTCTGTTTTAGCCATTTGACTCCGGAACCCTAAAAACACTTTGTTTTATTCTGAAAAGCCAATTGAAAACTTACGAGGAAATCGCTTTCTGATATCGTAAGAAGTATGTCAATCGATTGGTGGTATCAACTACCCATTTAAATCCTTTAACCATAATGGTTTAGAGGTTTTTTTTTTTATATAATAATTAAAAAAATTCCAAGCTTATTTAAACTTTTACAGTGACAATACTTGTGAAATTAATTAAAACAAACCGAAAATACACATACATATATAGTATATTAATTAGGACGGGAATTTTACTTTTTTATTGATATTAATAATTAATATACTAACTGGCACTTATGACACATGTAATTTTGGAGTCCGTCCGCCTTGATGCGAGCATTGCAGGCGTGACAGAGGGCACGCCCCGCGTGCTTTATGAATCCGGCGTCGGCCAACTCCACGTTGCACTCCTCACAGCGGAAGCAAGACGGGTGCCAGTTAGAATTCATCGCCTTTATCACACGACCGATTACGAATTCACCTGAGAAATTGATGATAGAATTTTATTTACTCTCATGTTGATGACATAATGACAACGATGATATAAGACTAATCTAGATCGATTTTTCGCCCCAGAAAACCCCACACATCAAATTTCAGCGAAATCGTTAGAGCAGTTTCCGAGATCACCTCTATAAATAAATAAATATACAAGAATTGCTCATTTAAAGGATAAGGATAAGGATTAAAAAAATGTAAACATTTTTCCTGCATAAGAATTAATGTAGAGGGAAAATGTTAAAAAATCTTGAGAGGATACTTACATAATAAAAATAGAATAGATTTTTCATACTTACGACATTTCCCGCAGCATGGAGCAAATAATACTTGAAAATCTCGTTCACAATATTTTCGGCCCTCAAACTCGTAAAAGACACCATCAGGAAAAACACGGAAACATTGAGCACATCTGTTGCATAATAATAAAATCCAATTAAACATCTTTGGATAAAATAGAAAATAAAAAAGAAGATTAGAGTTCATTATTTCTTCTTGTTTTTCCCAATCTATACTAATATTATAGAGGTAAAGTTTGGGAATTTGTGAGTTTGTGTCATTGTAGGGGGTAATCTCTGGATCTACTGAAACGATTTAGATGAAATTTGGTAACAAGATAGTTTGAGACCCTGGGAAGGACATAGGATACTTTTTATCCAGGAAATCATCCCTTATGGGGTTGAAAATGGGGATGAAAGATTGTATGGGGAATCAAACCAGGAAGGAGCCCTAGTGAAGTGAGGGCGAGTCGCTAGTAATAAATAATTTTGTAATAAAATTTCATATTTTGTCTAGTACAATTTGATTATGATATAATTAAGTGACCTCTTACTATTAGGTATTATGATACATTTTACATGAGAATTTCTTAACATGGTACAATTTTAATTTATTGTTTTACTTATATTAGGGTTTTATTTGAAATTTAATGTAAGTGGTCCAATAATTATATAAAAATAATATATATTTTTTATACCAATACATTTTTTCAACTTCATTGATAATAAAGGAGATTGTTTGCAATTTACAAGTATTATTAATTTTAAATATAAGCATTTTGTATACTACATTTTAAAAGATACACTTATTAGTTAGTTATTACATGGATAGGTACTTACACAAAACAACCAGTATGCCACAGTTCACCATTAGAGTTTACTATTTTCTCATTTGGCTCAAAACCATCTCCACAACGAGTACAAAACATATTGTCTAATGACATATTTGCTATTCTATAAACACAAAAAATAAGGATAATTTTATAATTGCTATCTATGTACAAAATAATTACATGATATAAGTATTGATTATTGTACTGACTTTTTTAAATGTTAATGAATAATATTAGTTATTAATTTATGATTGTATGTTTGTATCTGTTATACAGGAAAATACAATGATTTATGGTATTAAATTTATCAAAGCCATGAGGACCAGCTCTGAGTCACCTATAATGTAAGGAAAAAAATAACATTATTAGTTAACTATAAAATAAATTTCCTGATATTTACTCAAATTTAAAGATAAACTATTTTTAATATATTTACCTACACATTTTTTTTTCATATAATTTTTTTAACAATTTCATAATATATTATTATTTATTACTTATTTTCAAACATATTTCACTTTATTTAAAAAAACAGACTGCATTATAAACTATAAGAATCTACTAAATAATAACTCAGTCAATATTTACTATAATTAAGTAAATTCTTAGTTTTTCTCATACATTTTATTAGAAACTAATAACTGATGTTCAGAATATTATGTCCCTTATATTATTGGAATTCTTTTTTTTACAAAAGAATATTATTACAGAGGCATTATAGTATGGTGAATCACGGCTGATCAATGATTTAAAAATTTGCAACAATCATGTGAAAATCTTTAAAAAATATGAAATGTGATGTTAACTAATTATTATATATAGCTGAACATAGCTAAAACATTCTATTAAAAGTTAATATCAAATGAAAATATGATAGGTATTTCAAATTTATACAAATATGTGTAGGAAGCAGAAGGTCCAATTTTAAAGGACCACTCCCAGTTGATGCTTACCCTGGCATTTTCACCACTAATTCAAAATAACTATATATGCCTATTGCCTGTGTTTTTTCTGTTGAACACAAAAATTATTATTACATTGAAAAATATACTAACAAAACAAACAAAATACATTATTATGTATCTGAGATCACTTCTAATAATGATGTAATGGCAACAAAAATAGACTTGCATGTACTCACATGAAATTTTAAAACGGATTTACAGCATAAGTCGATATCACAATATGATAAAAATTATCCTATGAAAAGAATGTTATGAAAAATATAAAAACTTGACAATAATCAACTCTTGCCTTTGGTAATTCGTAAATTGTATTTTAGAAAGATCTAAGATGTGAGAATCTGTTTCTGTCATTAAAAACACTGTCAAGACTCAAGTGTCAATTCCATGAATCTAAACCAGGGCTGCCAGTACAGCCAACTTATTTTATACCGTTGAGTCACTAAATACCAAATTAAATCTTAATATACAAATCAATAAAACTTTTGAGATGTAGTGTGCGATGAATAAAAAAATTCAATAATAATACTTAATAATTTCAAATGCATAACTAACAAAGGTCATTGTCCAGTACCATTTGTAAATCTTTATCTTTTGTACAATGTACAAAAGATATAGATTTATAAAGTACCTGCTCGCTATCGAAGATTAAGAAACGTTCGATTTCTCTTTACTTTTTTGCTTAACATTACAAATAAAATCTTTATTTTTATATACAAGGCAATTTGCTAGATGTATAAACTGGATACATATGATATTATACAATTTTACGATCTGGCAGACCTGTTCTAAACATAGGTAAATATTAATAGTATGGATGGTAGAAATAAGGAGGACCATCTCAGTGTATTAAAAAGTCAATGAAAGGGAGCAAATTAAAGTGGCGCTATAGTAGCAAGTGCAAGAATTTTAAAAGGAGCGCCAAAAAATTATTAGAGTAGGACACTAAATAAAAAAGAGGAAAGAATAAAGTCTCTGTGTATTACTGCTAAATTTTTATCATTTCCATTTCCTACACTAGCGCTATTACGGTGAGTGTTCGAACAATAATTTGCTGTTAACAAGTGGACCTTTTTCAACTAATCTCCCATACAAGACGGTCTTCCTTCTTCCACCCTCCATAATGAAAAGGCACAGACCATATAGCACCGACTAAGTAAGTTTTAAGTTTTTAATAAATGAAAATGATCAGTACTGTATACATTTCTTCACAGTTACATCTAAATTGAGAAGGACAATACAATAATTTAAAAAATATTTATAATTTACCAATTTTGTATTAAAAAAACATTACTACGAAGTAATACGAAAAATTACAGGCTAGGAATTTTTCAAAATACTGAAAATATTCTGGATTTTTAAATTAGAAATATAAAACATTTATACCAAAGCCTTTCTTAAAATACATACTGGTATTGAATTTATTTCATTTATTAAAAAATGATAGGTATTTGTAAAACATTTGTAAAATTAAATCATGACAGTAACATTTACAAAAAGAAATAAAAATATCTTTTAAAAAAGCTTTCAATTTTCTCCGTCTGCGCTTCAGTCTCTAAAAATCTGTAATGTGTCAATATTTATAGAACAATTAAAAGTATTATTATTTGTATTCCTTGTTTGTTACATGTAAAAAGATAACGTAATAAAAAAGAAACTACAATCATTAGCCCTCGACTCTCAATAAAACTGTGTTACTTCGCTTCACGCTTGTCGTCACTTGTCAAAGTCAATGTCTAATTAAGAAAAAGTGCGCCTTTAGAGCGAGTCTAACAGCTAACTTTTTAAGATAATTATAAGAAATATGGATTCAGACGATGGTTTCAAAAATGATTTTAATACAGTAAAGGAATTAGTATTAGATGAAGAAAAAATAGTGACATATGTTTCTCTGAGTAAAGATCTTTGCGTACATGTAAACACAGGAAAAAAAATATTACATGGCTTAATTGATAACATACGAGAAGAAAATCCAAAAATTAAGCTGAATGTCTCTTATGTTATATCAGGGATAATTGATGATAACCAGGCTTGGACTACCGTTTGTTCAGAAGATGAATTGAAAAAGCTAAGATTATCCTTTAAGACAATATTTTTCGAGCATATTTATAGCGTAAGTAAGGGCGTTACTTGTGTTGACCGAAATGCTTATTTGTTATTAAATTCATTTGCTGATTTAAACTTATGTAAAGGCTTGATCAAAAGTAATGAATGTAATAAACGAACATCTGATGAAATAGAAAGCTTAAAAACTATTAGTCAGGAATCTGTAACACTTCCTAGTGAAAACAAGCAATTGGCAGGTGCCAATAAAATAAAATTAGAATCAAAACAACTTAAAAGTAAAGAAGTACATATTATACCTTCAAAAGAAATAGAAAAACCAGCAATTAAAGTTAAAAATGAAGTGATATCTCCCAAAAAAGAACCTATTAATTTTAAACCAAGTAACAATCATTCAAATGGACACAAAACTCAAAAAGGAATTGTAGGTTTCTTTAATAAAACAAATGGAGTAACTGCCAAAAAAACAACAAAAGATTTAAAAAATGGAATTGGGGATATAGCAAAAGATGAAAATAAAGTTGAAGACCAAAAAATGGATGTTGATGATATAGAGTCCAAATCTGAACTTCCTTTACCAGCAAAAAAGGAAATTATTAAAAAAAATAATGTTCTCAGTCAAATAAAGAAAAATTCAAAAGTTGATAAAAAGAGAAAAAGGGTGTTACATGTGTCTGATAGTGATAGTGATGCTGAAAATGATCCATTTGTAGATAAACAGGAATTAAATCCTGAATCAGATGATGAGATCCCACCTACACCGTCTAATAATAATATAAAAATAACATCAGGAATAGTGAATCCTAAAAAGAGACGAAAAGTTGTTGACAAAACATATACTGATGAAGATGGTTACATTTTAACTAAAAAAGAAGAAGTATACGAAAGTTGTTCTGAAAATGAAGAAGAAATCCAAATCAAAGAAGATATAAAACCAATAAAAGAAGAAAAAAATGATATATCACCCAGAGAAAAGAAAAATGGTCCAAAACTTTCAAAGAAAAAAATATCTCCACCACAAAAAGGAAAACAATCAACTCTAACTAATTTTTTTAAAAAAATGTAGCAGTTAAATTTTAAATATTATGTATGTCTCATTAATAAACTTTTATTTAAAGACAAGACTTGATACACAAACAATATGAAAAAGTTAACAAGTGGGAAAATGTTCAAATTATGTATTTTTAATTTTTTTATTGTTAAATATTATCATGTCGTAATAAAAATAAATTTCATTTTTGCCATGAGCAGCAGTTTATATGTGTTGAATAGTTAGTAAAACTTCATTTTTATTTATGAATCTAATATGTCGAGGCAGGTATCTAGCGCTGACCTTGAGCCGCGCAGAAGTTTGTGGGTCTCTTTAGTGGTATGACGTGAGGCGAGACGGGGGGCTTGTGATTAGCTCACTACGCATCGCAGCATACTACAGAGACGTCGCTCATGATTGGTTCCCTGCGTCCGTGCGCGTGCTAGTGACGACGGCATCGTGACTGCATTTTATTTCTTGATGTAAGATGCACAAAGCGATCCCCACCGTTGCCCAGCGCTAAAGTTATATGCCCTCTTTTTTTTTTAACGTTGGGAAATGCATTTACGCACGTGGTGTGGGACTCACCGGCAAAGCCAGTACTACCCACTAAAACCCAACAAAGTCTTCCCCCGTCTTAATGGGGCGTCGCAGGATCGCTTACGCATTCAACTACGACGCCCCGACGGCAGGTCTGCCGAAGCAGACCACAACAACCACGGGGTTGCTCCAAGGTCCACTCTGCTATCAGAGAAGTACCAGGAACAACCCGCATGGTACACCGCCCTCCGAAGCGGGCCACCTCCCACCGTCCACCGAAGTGGGCCACCTCCCTGTGCGTTTCTTGGCTTCGCGCCCGGTTGGGTTGCCGGGCACTACTGAGCCCCCCCACCACGACAAGGTGAACGCACGTTGGGGGGGAAAGTTATATGCCCTGACCTATACTCTGTACACAGACAAACAAACAAGACCTATACTCTGTAGTACAGTACCTATTCACGATCACTAATCATTTTTTATAAAGAATGGAATTCTGTACTTTTTATACTACAACCATTCTGTCTAGTATGTTACAATCTCTTTAGTGATTAACTAACAATTTTTGGACTATTAAAATATGTATTAGCACAATACCCGAGGTATATATTATAGGTCCCAGTACTGGAAGAAGAGTTGCAAGGTCTATTTCCAATCAGTTCAGCCTGAAAATTAGGTCTAAATAAGTATACCACAGTTTAGGTTTTTTTTTTGTAAACGTAGATATTCAGTCTACTAGAACAAAGTTTTATTAACTAACATATTACATACCCTACTAGTTATTTTAGCACCTGGCCTGTATGAGTATATTTTTTCAAATGAAGCCTAGCCTTTGTCCTAGATCAATGAAATTTGTAGGGTTTATTTTTCATCAAGCGACGTAATTTTTAAAAAAAGTAGAAAATATTTTTTTTAAGGATTAAAAGTTAAAGATGAAAATTGAATTAATAAAATTGTTTGAGAAGTTATACTTTTATTCAGACTATTAGATCATACTGACAAAAACCATTATAATAGTATGAAGGCCCTAAGACTATTGGACTTCTTTAAAAACAATATTTGGCGAGGATTATACCTATACCTCTTCTTCATGTTAGGAAATGCATTTACGCATATAAGAAAATAAAAGAAATAATAAAAATGTTTAGCATTGTCTGCGGCTCCGCCCGCGTTCAGATGACCAAAAACCAAATTCTTTAGTTTTACCTATCGGTACACTCTTACATTGCAGTTTTTGTATTTTTTCTCAGAAATGAGATATTTTCTTGCGGTAAAAAGTATCCTATATGTTGAACCGGCTAACCAGCTATCATCATATCAAATTTCATCAAAATCCTTTCAGTGGTTTTTACGTGATGCGGTAACAGACAGACAAACAGAGTTTTCCTATGGGAATTAGATAATATCCCGCGGTATAAAATAACCTATGTTACTCGCCAGCCCTCCAACTATCTCCACACAAAAAATAACGCCAATCCGTTACGCCATTTCGACGTGAAAGAAGGACAAAAACCACACACACACACTCTTTCACATTTATAATATTAGTATGGATATAAATTTTTGTGTACACCCAAACACGTAGTTAAAGCTTTTCCTTATTTTTTATGAATATTCTCCATATTATCTATTCATATAAAATTGTTTTTTTTTGGATTGTATTATAACGTGTTTTCCCGTGGGAATTAGATAATATCCCGCGGTAAAAAGTAACCCATGTTACTCGCCAGCCCTCAAACCATCTCCACACAAAAAATAACGCCAATCCGTCACGCCGTTTCGACGTGAAAGAAGGACAAACAACACACAATTTGTAATAAGGAGTAATTACTAAAACTATTTCAGTTTTAGTTACACGTTTTAGTCCATATTATTAAAACTACTGAACCGATTTTAATAAAATGTTTACCATTACCTAAGTTGAAATAAATAAAAAAAGAATGATCACGATCCGATTTTTTAATAATCTATAATTTTTTGTATATTTGCTTGGAAGCCCTAATAGATTATCATATTATGTGTATATTTTGCAGTTTCAATAACATACGTGTCGAATTGATAACCTATTTTTTTTGAAGTTGGTTAAAAACTAACACATTTTTGCAACATTTTAGTAATTGTTTAGTATTGAGACATCATGGATTTTAATGGGATATCAAGATATAATGAAATAATAATTTATTTATTATTATATTTGCCAAATTTAATGAAAATCGGTTTAGCCGCTTATTTTACGCTTGATTAACAAACAAACATACAATCATTCACATGTTTTAGAATATTAGTAGGATTATATATATTTAAGAATATACTGAATTATATATACAAAACTATAAATATAATAAATGATATTACTTATATAACACGATAATTATAGCATTGCATATCTTTGACTCTTTTCTGATTGTATCGCTCGTAGGCAGTAATCTATCCAGTGGCTTGTTTGATGAACTAGCGCGTGGATTTTTTGATGCTTTTTTGCGGGGTGCGCGGGTGAAGTGCGCTAAGCCCCGCCCAGACACGCAAGGTCATCGGGGACACTAATCGCCTTAATTACTCTTGCTCTCTCAAGTTTGGTTTCATAAAGGGTATAATACCTAAAATCTACATCATAGGTAATACTTGGTAAAACTGAATCTGACATACACAGGAGGCCATGTCTCTGGACCCAAAAACATTTGCAAACTCTAAATGGAGAACCAAGTGGTAAATTAGTAATTGTATGAACATATAACATTATTGTAAAATAAAACAACAAATTGATGGGCGTTACTTTTAATCTATCTTTTAGTTCCAATGGCTACCATCCAGTCCGGGTGCACTTGGACATCAACTAAGTATGAACATTTGGTGTTGTAAGTTGAAGTTGATAGGTCTTGACTCGACATTTGTCTGCAAAAATATAAATTTAAATGATCAATGAAATATATTAAATTAAGAATTTGTGTAATATTCATATATTTCATATAAGTTTTGGTTTTGCTTTTTAAGTTTATCTAGGTGTTTTTTCTGAAAAAAAAACCGCGACTTTTGCAAAACAAAACACATTTACAAAAAAAAATGTACAGTTTATAATCAGGACGTTAATGTATATTTTGGTGTAAAATAAAGTTTTAAGAAAGAAGCAAATTCTATTTTAATACACCTCTGGTCAAAATTAGTAACCCCTAATTTAGATTGTTCAGACTACTAGAGATAAGTATAGATAATTGAAAATAATACTAAGGAACTTTCATCAATTTTTTTTTCTAGTAATTCAAACAATCATAGGAAAGGATATTAATTTTGACTGATAAAGCTTCAAATTGAACTTACTTATTTTTCATATAACTGTCCCACACAACCTTCACAATGCCATCCATGCCGGCCGAACACAATATGGAGTTATCTGTAGGATCATTAGGGTCTGATATTCTGTTAGACAAACTGGGTTTCCCCACAGACGACCAGTCCAATGATGTCACTTTCCCATGATGGCCTCTGTATTCGTGAACACAGGTGCAAGCGGCCAAATCCCATACTTTAATCTTTTTATCATCACCTGTAAATAATATTGTACATTATGTAATGTTTGTACGAGCTTTTGTAACATATTTTTTCTATAATATTTGAATGAAATCTTAAATTATAGATATTTTCGACAACAACAGTTTTACAAGATATAACAATATGTGCTAATCTTGGTTTATTTAATATTTGTCGTTATAGCAGCAATAGAAATATACACATGTGAAAATATCAACTCTACGTATTAGGCCCGACCCGCACTATAGTGCCGATCACGGTTCGTTCTTGGTCCGATATCGGTCTGGTAAAGTATCTATATACAAGAAACAATCGAGTGCATTTACACTATCATTAATATTCCAGTTCCGATCGAATCACATTGCAACAATATTTCTATACTAATATTATAAAGAGATAAAGTTTGTGAGGTTGTAGGGGGTAATCTCTGGATCTACTGAACCGATTTAGATGAAATTTGGTAAGAAGATAGTTTGAGACCCTGGGAAGGACATAGGATACTTTTTATCCCGTAAATCATCCCCTTAAGGGGGTGAAAATGGGGATCAAAGTTTGTATTGGGATTTTTATATAAAAATACTTTGCAAGACCGATATCGGACCGAGAACGGACTACGATCGGCACTATGTACGTGCGATACGCGTGGAAGGTCCCTTACGGTTCACGAGATACAGTCCACAGAATGAAGTGTTACCAACTGACCAGCGCTGGCGAGGTGCGCGCCGCCGGGGCTGAAGGCGAGCGCGCGCGGCGCGGCGCGGTGGCCGCACAGCACGCGCACGAGGCGCGCGTCGCACACGCTCCACAGCCGCACCGACCGGTCCGCGCCGCCCGACGCCACGTACGCCTCGTTCGGGTGGAACTTCACGCACTGCGGACAATCAACAATCGATCATTTAAAACATTTACACTCTGTTTTTTAACCTCAGAGACAAAACTGATATTACGTGCCGCTATCGCAAATTAACGTTAATAAAATCAAGTATCGTTTCTTTATAATAAGTTCTTTTTGTTATAATAAGCTATCCTGAAATAATGTGAAGGTACTTATTTAAAACGTAATAAAACAAAATTATAACGCAAATTTAATTTTCATAATGTGAATTTTAAGGATACTTAATGATTTAAAATTAATAAATATGATATTTAATGATTTAGAATTAATAATGTAAATTTTAATGATACACTTTGGAATATAAAACTTTGAAGAGAATCGTCTAATAAAGATAAAAAGTTACGATTCAACAAATCGGTATTGTATGAACTTAACGATAATAACTATATTAGTGTAAAACTGTATCGCAGTTATTAACGCCAGCCTCATAAGGATCGTGTATAACAATAAACTTAATCCTACACATATTAAGCAAAACTAAGTACAAAAATAAAATCAAATATCCAATTTAACAAACAAGGAAAAAAAAATAGTAATCCATCAATAAAATAAAATCTATAGTAATCCACTGTTAGTAATGCGCAGTGCGCAGTCAGCACCTTTGATATTTTCATTTGCGAATCATTTCCAACATGGTTACCATTTGTCTTATGGCCTGATCCCCCTCGTATTGAAGGGCCTCCCGTGTCTAGAAATGGGACTTTTAAAGGAGCCGAATACATACATTACTAATGCGAATACACGCACTACATACACTTCACAATCTAGAGTAATCCACCTTCACTAATACGAATCTTTGCATGCATGTACACATATATGTGTGTGTGTGTGTGTGTGTGCGTGTGTGCGTGTGTGTGTGCTTGTGTGTGTGTGTGTGTGCGTGTGTGCGTGTGTGCGTGCGTGCGTGCGTGTGCGCGAGTGCGCGCGTGCGCGTGCGCGTGCGTGTGTGTTGTGTGCTAGACGGATTTAAATGAATGAAACGGCAACTATCCATTTAGCCGGATACCGGATATCTCGCGACTTGTAAGGCTGGATGGCCAGATGTTCAACACATTGTCACATTGCATGTTGCAACAAGTTTAGCACCGCACAGGTAATGTTTATACAATTGGAAGAGGAAGTGTATTCAAATGTGATCGTGTGTTATTGATTACTGAAAGTCAATCTATTACTTGCTCTATTTTTTTAAGGAAATAAGGCGCTAGATTCCCCACCCCCTAATAAGCACTTATGATCGTCTGGTGCTCATGATGACGTCACACGGAAATATTACACTGAAATCCATCTAGCACTTATTCGTCAAATGTGCCGAGTATAACTTGCGATAAGGAACATCATTCCAAAAATAAAGAATAATACTTACAGTGACATCAGACATGTGCCCAACAAAAATCCGAATGGGGAATGTTCTGTCCAGGGACCATAACTTGGCAGTCCTGTCATGTGACCCAGTCACAATGAACAAACCATTTTTAGACACATCCATACACCAAATTGGATAGTTGTGTCCCCTGGAAAAAATAAAAATTTCAATAAACTTGCTAACTAGCTGTCTTGATGCAAAAATTTTAAATATAAACTACCTTTCTTATATTTTATATGTACATAAAAACAGATTATAAAGAAATCTGTTAAAATTACTTCATTAAAATTATTCTACGCCGCCGCCGGGAGTCCACCAACCCGCATTTGGCCAGCGTGGTGGACTATGGCCTAATCCCCCTCATACTTAAGGGAGATCCGTGCCCAGCAGTGGGACGTCAAAAAAGGTTTAATACAATATAGAATTATTCTAAGTCTCCATGGAATATACTATTATATTATTCCTCACCTGTATATAGAAGCACATGAATAGTCTGACAGTCTCCAAGCTCTCATAGTATTGTCATGTGAGGCTGAAAGCACTATTTCCTCTCTAGACAATATATTCACGGCTTGTACTGGTCCAGAATGCCCTCTCAACGGTAACCCCGTTCCAATTTGACTAATATAGAAAAAACATTAATAGTATTAACATATTTAATGACTGTTACAGGATAGCTAAGGTCTTGAAATATATTCCTGATTTAATTTTTATTTCAATTATAAAGTATAAATAGTAAAATAGAAATTCACTTTTTGTTAATTTTAAAAATATAATGAATTTTTCGTCTTTTTTAAATAATAAAAGTCCCAATCAGGGTTGATGTCAGGCAGGCGGCCAGTCTTAGAACTTTTACAAAATCCTACCAATAGTACGGAAGATGTACTGCACAGACCCCATGTACTTGGGAAATGGGCAGGGAGATGATGTGTCTTTAGATTGTGTTCTTTTAAATATTTTAATACGCGAATATTTGACATTTTTAATAAAACTATCTTTTCGGATTTTGTCGCGGATTTATTTGCATTTTTGTCTCTCCCGTGACCATGGATGCTGTAAAGCATTCGAAACGTCGGGATACAACAATGCAAATAAATCCACGACCAAATCCGAAAAGATAGTTTTATTTAAAATATATTTTTAACTAATGAATAAACAAGATTAGATTACGAATGAATTTCATTTCTTTCTGTAATTGCCCTAAAATCATTTTTTTTCAGAAAAATCAATAAATTTAACTCCAAAAACGAATAAAATATCGATAAATTCGAAAAAATTATAACGAAAAGTATGAGTATATATATATATATATATATATATATATATATATATATATATATATATATATATATATATACACATACTATTCGTAATATTTTTTTAAAATTATAACGAATATAGAATTAAAAATATAAATTTTTCAAAAATAAAATTATTTTTATTGCTCCTTCTAAACGGTAATAGTCCAGCAATTAGCAAAAGAAAGCGCGTGACCGGTGGAGGGCGACGGGTGGAGGGGTATAGGAAGTTGCCCTTACTCATTTAAACTTGGTCAGATATAATGATGATGATGATATAGAAAATATTTTTTTTTTTGTATGAAAATGAAAATTTAAGAAATATAATTTTTTCTTGTTACAGAGGTTGTTGTTATGATGTAAATAGTATATTCCCAAAATCCTAGTGTTCTTTCACGGCGACCATACAATATTTTTATATTTTCAAAAAGACGAAAAGAATGAGCCCTATTTGAAAATTAAATGAATTTTTTTTAAATGTAAACGCCCACTTAAGTTGAAGTTGGGGGTGATTTTCAGCCTATCGAGACCATAATACATACTTTTCTCGGAAACGGAAAACCTCTGTAAATATTTCATTTTTTTTATTATATGTATTTTGAAGATTACATTCCCCTAGTTCCATGGAAATCAAAAGATAATTCTAGAAATTAAAAATAAAAAACTCAAGATAAATTTAAAAACCGAGTTTTCTGCAAATATCTCGAAAACTTTGAGGTTATCGTAGAAAGTGTTATTTATAAAAGTTGTATATTTTTACTAGACCTTTAACATTTGTACAAAATATTTTTCGATAGAACGTCACAGTAAGCCGGAAATTGAAAAAAACTATTTTTCAACGCTTTGCGTCCCCCCATTTCTCGGGTGTAGCTGGACAGAGGGGGCATTTTATGAATTTCTAATCCTTATATACGTGCTAACATTTTAAAATTATAAAACTTCAGGTTTTCAATATTTTGTTCCCAGATTCCGATTGGACTATAATACTAGCTTACATACCAAATTTTAGCTTTCTAGGACTTCAGGAAGTACCCTAAGAGTTTTGATGATCATCAGTGAGTCAGTGACGAAATCGGAGTTTTTTAGATATCAATAAAATCTAATGTAAAAGAGCTATGCAATTGAAACTTTTTATGTTTAGCTAACATTGCCCGCGACTCCGCCCGCGTTCATATGACCAAAAACCAAATTCGTAGGTTTTACATATTAGTATACTCGTACATTGCAGTTTTGTATTTTTTCTCAGAAATGAGATATTTTCCCGCGGTAATCCTATATGTTATCCTAATCTATACATACGAGTATAATAAAATTCTAAACTTTGGATTGAATCCTTTCAGTATCGATCGATATATCGATATTACCTTCTCGTCCCTAGGAGATAATAATATCGATAGCACCTTCAACATCACTACAGTCTACAATAAATATGCCCCTGCCCCCGACCCGTATGGTGCGATAGAGAGAGTTGCAAGTCTTAGACTCAATTACCTACATTTCCTTTTTGAAATATTGTTTCGGGCGATAACGTTTTCACCCCCCTAAACATTAACGAAATGAGACGATTTTGGTCTCATTAGATTCAGTACACCTTAATCTAGGTCTGTACGTTTTCCTTTTTTTGTAATACAGTTTAGTTTAATTAAAAAAAATAAAAACGCTGGAGAAAGTTTTTAGGTCAAAAATATAGATATTTAGATGCTAATAACTTCTATCGTACGCAATATTTCTAAAAAATAAAAACGTACGGACCTAGATTTTGATTATATCTACAACATTTCCAAAAATTATAAAAATTAGACTGTATTTAAGGGGGGAAAAACGTTATCGCTTTTTGTATGAAAATTTACAGCTTCACAATCCTCTTAACACTATACTGTAATATTTCCTATATGTAACTAAACATTATTTAAGATACATGTAAGATTTGTTTTTTTAATGTTTATTGAACCATTTAAATTTTATTATATTAATGTATTATTATTTTAATGAAAATTGATAATAGAACTATTAAATAATACTTACAAAGTAGTGTCTAAAATAGTTTCAGGTTCAGGTGGTATGCCACAAGCAAGTTCCACTTCTGATATATTCCTATTAATCTTTTTCTTGACATTGTTTTGTCCGAGATCCCACAGTCTTATTTCTGAATTATCAAATCCTCCACACAGTACATTACAATACTGATCTGTCTTGGCACATACTAAGCTGAATTCAATTTATATATTTTAAAATAGTGTTATTTTACATAATTTAGAGCAGAACAGAGCACATTCATTCAACTTTAAAAAAAAATTATCTTTCAATTTTTTATTTATATGTAGAAAATATTTGTAATACTTACTGAGTATCAGGTGCAGCTATTTTATATAACTTTAATGGTGCCATAGATTCTCTAACCCCTTTGATGGCATCTTGCAATTCCCTTAGTTCTTTGTCAACAGATTGATATTCTGCATGACCATTGCATTTGGAAAAAATATCTGTGCATAAAAAAAAATAGTATATGTTATTTGTTTAAAGAAGTGAAATTAATGTTTATTATAAATTTTTACTCAATATTTCTGCTAAACTATTTCGATAAATCTTTTTTTTAAATTTTAAGACAACAATTTTTTACCATTCTTGTCATTTACTTTTTCTTCATTATTTGCAGAATTAACATGAACTTCTTCTGTGTGTTCATCATCGTTTTCCTGAAAAGAAATTACAATTCCATTTGAACAGATATTTATGAATTACTGTTCTGTTTTAATGTTTTATTTTATAAATCTAAAATTTTTAAGTCAATCTTATTATCATTTTTTTTATACTCTAGTAATACAGTGAGCTTAATATATGTAATAAAATTTTAAACTTACCACTTTTTTTTTGTTATCGATATTAATATCAATATGAAACCAAGTCTGTAGAACTTGTATTAACAGAACATGTCCATGTTTAGCTAAATATGTCTTCAGCATATTTAAAGCATCTTGTGATAAATATATGTCATATTTGCAAGACCTGGTTATTAAAAAAAAATATTTTAAAATAAATATTTATATAAAAGAAAAAAAATATATAAAAATAAAAAATCCGACTGCATAAAACCTAGCTAAAACAACAAAACCAAGTTGATGACTGATTGTCGACTGAAATCTGCCATTTTAATTTTTAATTATTTTTATATAAACTATGATGCTCGCATTACTAAGACAAATCTAACATCATATGAATCATAAAAATTGGCCCACTTGGTCATTTGGTTTCTACGCCACATAGGAACAAACACGCATACATATATACATACATAGACTGATAAACACTTTACCCTCCTTTGCGTCGCACAATTGAGTAAAAAGAACATGCTTAGGAAATTGAAAACAAACCTGAAAGCTGCAATAGATGGACGGGCTTCCACTTCTTGTAAAGTATATACAGTTCCAATATCATCCAACAGCTGATTCATATAGTCCTTTTCTGGAGTTTCATTATCTATTGTGCCATTTTGAAGAGAATTGAACAATTGTTCAAGGCTGTTAGGTCGATAAAGAGCTGAGGGTAAATTACCATCAATAGGCTGATGATAAGATAAATCCTTTTGTGGTAAAGTTGCAGAATGTCTTTTAAGAAACATTTGTGCAGCACCCCCATGACCTCCACGTAACATTTCTAGATACATATGACACAGTAATGGAGTAAGTAGGCCAAGTAGTTCATTTTTAACATTCTCATTTTTAATATCCTTTATAAAATTTACAAGCCTGAAAGAAATGGAATGGATAGATAGGAATACAACAGTTTTTTGCATCAGATATAATAGCTTTAAAATACCTGGAGTATTGTACATCATAATGCCCAGGATCATTGTTAATGCAAGAAAATAAAATAGAATTCGCACGACTTGCTTCACATTGTACAATAGTTGCAACAGCCATTTCTTCAGCGCTACGACTTGCGGGATTACTATTAAAGAAATCAATATCCTAAAAAAGAAAAACATAAGTCCGTTTAATTTTATTATTATTACACTATCATGGTAAAACAAAATTTACAAATATTATGAACGTACAGGGTAATTTCGCCGCTCTAAGTAGGAAGTAACAGCAGCTTTAACTGCATCGTTTCGGGTCCTTTTCATTGATTTAAATTAAAATACCTTAAAGTAAACTAGGAAAATAAAATATACAATTTCACTTAAGTTTAATAATAAACATGCATAATGCAGTCATTATCAAAATAAATGTCAATTGTCTATGACCATTGACCAATCTTTATTCTGGCCACAGACTTTAAATACTACTTAGTTATAATTTGTAATCAGTTCTCAACTAAACGGCTTTAAATTTTTAAATCAAACATAAAAAACTTAAAATATCAAATTAATCAGCTAAACTAAAATACCCGCTGTCTACTAAAATAGTAAATACCCGTCAAAATTACCCACCATCAAAAATCGCCTAAAATTACCCGCGGGTCTTCGGGTAATTTGCCCGCCAATTGGCAACGCTGGATGTTGATAATCCATTATTAGTTAATTGACCACAATTGATTGGCGGATAAATTAAATCGATTACATAATCGATTATACTAAATAATAAGAAATGTATATTTTACACAATTTACTAACCAGAGCAGATTTATATTACACTACTGGCTCACCCTCGCTCCATTTGGAGTCGTCCCTAATCAAGTTTTAACGTTTAATATAGATTTCTCACAGATGATATATTTTCCCGCTGTAAAAAGTATCCTATATGTTGACCCGGATAACTAGCTATTATACCATCATCATACCAAATTTCATCAAAATCTGCCCAGTGGTTTTCACGTGATGTGGTCACATACAGACAGACACATAAAAAAATCGATTAACTAAAGATTCGGCCTGTGTATTGATAATAATGACTATTTCAATAAGATTTTCCAAAAAATATTTAATGTACAGAATTTTATTATAATATGTTTATATATGTGTTGATTTTGTTTTCATAACGTTGGTCGGTAGACTAGATATTTTTCAGCAGCATTACACTATGAAACTTGAAAGTGATTGAGGAAATATTTTTATTGAAGAACGGTTGCTATTTTTGTCTAATTTAAAATTTTGTTATAGTTTTTGTATTTTTTTCATATAAAAATACTGATTACCTTAGAGTATACTTAAGCTATAGAGCGCGCGCTAGCAAGTATGAACTGTAAGCATGGGTATGAACAGTCTCGAAATGTCAAGGGCGACGCTATTAGTCACAAAAAGTCAATCGCGCTGACTGTTTCTCTCGTCGGTATTTATTAGGATTTATGTAATCATGGCGAAATATTTAGTTCCAAGCTGTAAAAATGATTCACGAAAGCAAACTAAAACGAACAAAGATATTTCTTTACATCGATATTTAATATTTTAATCAGAAAACGCTGATTTTAACAAAATTGCACAGGCGTGAGCGGGTGTTGCGGTAGACGCACGGGCGGGTCGACACAACACGTGCTTCCACGCCCCCCGCTTCTTAGTTTCCCTCATTAAGAGCTAATGTTGTACCACGTTGTACTACTCGAATATTTTGTACAACCATAGTATTATAAATTAAGATTCTTTGTATTTGTCAAAAATAAAACCTTTAAATTTTAATGGCATTAAAATTTAATTTTAAACATTTTTATAATTTTAATAAGTTTTATAATTGCATGGAATATTATTTATTTCATTTTAGCTGTTATTATTACAATTTTTTAGAAAACCTTATTAACTAGTCATCTTGCATCAATGTGAAAAGTTAAAGAGAATAAATAATATATAATTTTAATTTAGTATACTAATATTTAAAAAATCAAAATATTAAGCAACACTATTACTACACAGATTTACAAATAAAATATATTAATTTGAAATACTGTAATTTTAGATAATAAAGTTTATATGTGCGTGAATAAATGGTTCTGTTAAATTGTATATGTTAATATACTTCTTCTTTAAATAAATTCTAAAAGTTTTACTAGACGCATCATTATTCAACCGCTTCATCTACAAGTATGGTACTAAGGTGTGTATAGAAGACCTGCTTACGTTTCGCATAATGGACAATGAGCGATTCGCGCGATCTATAGCATATGTATACTCTAAGCTGAATGATGATGATGTTCTCCTGACCGATTCCGGCCACGGCGGCCAATCTCATTGAGATTAGTCAACTGCGCAGGAGATATTATAGTGCATAAGTGTACGCGCAGACACAAGTGCACTCTCTATTCCTATCACTCTCATACTCCGGTGGGACGACTATTTGACACGACCGGTGAGAGTTAAGGCGCAAGACCGACGGCTTTACGTGCTCTCCGAGGCGCGGGGGTGTGACCCCGCCAACTTCCCAACTCCGGGCTGTTACTGAGGCTTTACTATACAGAAAGACTCAATAACTAAACTTGGCCCGACCGGGGACTCGAACCCGGGACCTCCGAGTGTGAAGCCGTACATGCTAGTCACTACACCACAGAGGCAGTAAGCTGAATACATAATTTATTAACGTAGGTTTACTTATTTACTGTCATTTCGGCCAATGAGGAAGAATTTTGCCTTGTTCTCCCGCCAGATGTCGCTATCACTATGACCCTCAGTATATTGTAAAGCTTATAACTTAGAGTACCTATAAATAGCTTATGTATAATCTAATTTCAAATTTGATAATTTCACACTGTTGACGTCTAATCCGCCATTTCAATTTTAACAATATCTATTTAAATATCCTAGATTCCTATGACACTAGCTTTATGAATAGCTGAATCTAGTTCTAACTTCTAAGTTCTAACGATGTATGAATCGTCAAAATCGGTTAAGCTGTAATTACGAGGGAATAATATGCCGATGCAAAGCAAAGCAAATCTATTTCGATACGTATACATTTTTGTATAAATAAAAAAAAATGATGTATATTTTAACTATAATTATAGTTCATACCATGGCATAATTTTTATCTATTTATTAGATTTTCACATTGTCGGCTCGCACTGACTTCGAAAATATCTGATTAGATCTATAGTAAATGAAAACCCCTGTTCTGTTATTTTTTATTTTTTAGTCGCCCGGAAGTCTTTTTCTTAGTTGATTTAATTTTTTTAATTACTTACTTTTTCATTTCGTAATTTTCAGTTATAAGTAAAAACTGAAATAGTTTTTATATAAATATTTCGAGATATTTTGTACTTATGTTGCTTTCAGTATGGTTAAGACTCTTGATGGCATAATTGTCATAGACGAATTAGATCCTAAGAAACTTTTGAAACAACCTCACGATCTACGAGCATACCAAGAAAAATGTTGCGTTTACGTAGCTATCCTACTGCTACAACTTCATCTAAATCAATCTTATAAATTTTTAGTTTTGGCCCTGATTGGTTTCGTGAGGCGAGTTTGGTTTCGGCCATTTTAATTTTCTTACATGCGCACTAAAATTTGACCACGGTTTTGAGATGTTTTCTCTTTGGCACTTTCTCAATAAGTTTAGTATATATCAAAAAATCTACTGAACCAATTTTGATGAAATTTTCAGTATTCCATAAGTTGAAATAAATATAAGCGAATAAAAAAAGAATAATCACAATCCGATTACTAGTTTCGGAGAAAGGCATGGACAAACATATCAATAAAATTATGTATACTTATGTATTTGTTTGGAAGCCCTAATAGGTTATCATGTGCGAACATTTTGCAGTTCCAATAATATAACACATACCTATATGTCGAATTCATAACCTCCTTTTTTGAAGTCGGCTAATTATATTATTAATTTAAAAGAGGTAAACGTCGGTCATTTTAATCTACGGAAGCGACGCGAGTGGTGGTGTGAATTAGAGTCTAGAGACAATTGACTCGTAATTGCTGCGTACTAAGTGTCTGGCCTTTATGTAGGATGGCCAATTTTTCTGTTGTATTTCTGTTCTTAGCAGTTTTTAAAGTAGCGTCTTTATGTGCGCATTCTCCCAAATTGAATGATGTTTTATTTAATGGGAATTATGAATTCATTGACATGACCTATCCTTTTGATGATTCTACAATATATTGGCCTAATGCTAAATATTTTGAATTTACTGAAAGGAATCAAAGTTTTCAAAATGACGGATCTTGGTGAGTTACTTATTATTTTTATTTAAAAAATATTTGTATTCTTCATTATGTAAATCATTATTACGTTATTGTTTATTGGAGTAAATGTATTTGTTTTACTTATAAATAAAAATAACATGAAACATCAGGTATGCGGCTAATAATTTCGCTGCTGCTGAACATGGCGGTACCCACATTGATGCTCCATATCATTTTCAAACTAATGGGAAACAAGTCGGAGAAATACCATTAGATAAACTAATACTCCCACGTATGTATTTTTTTATCACCGAAATAAAAGTAATTACTTTTTTTGGTGTAGGTACATTTATTTTAATGCTCATTAAAATTAATAAAATATTAAAATTTAACTCGTTATCAGGAGACAAGTCTAGATTTTGTGCGATAAAAATATCAAAATGTTAAATTCAACAGTAAAATTTTATCACGTTTGTACCAGTTGCAAATGTTAGTAGGTATGTACTTCACATTATGTTATCGGCAGTACAATAAAATTAGTGACTTATGTTGTTAAGTTGTACTATATTGTATATAAACTTAGCTCAGTCAGGGATGGAAGTTATATAAGGTTTACGAGTCTCCTATTGCGATTTCATATCAACAAGTTCATTTGGAGAGCATAACACTTTGAGGAACACAATTGTTGATCTGTTGCCTATTTTTTAGCCTGTATTGATTAGTAGTAGTAGTAGTATTGAGTAGTATAAGCTTATTATATTACTACTAAGACGCAATATATCACATAAAACGTAATTTGATTTGTGCATACTATTACGCAATTACTAACAAGGAAGCTGGAAGACAATATAAACAATATGAGGCTTAACATAAAGCTCGCTTTAGTAATAACTAGCGACTCAACCTCGCTTCGCTCGGGTTCTTCCCTAGGTTGCTTATCCGTACAAACTTTCATCCCCATTTTCACCGTCTTAAGGGATGATTTCCGGGATAAAGAGTTCCTATGTCCTTCCCACGGTCTCAAACTATCTTCTTACCAAATTTCATCTAAATCGGTTCAGTAGATCCAGAGACAACTTCACAACTCACAAACTTTACTGTTTATAAAATTAGTATAGATAATAGATATCACATTAAACATTCAACTTTTAAATTATTGCGGATTTTTTTTTAACTTATATTTAATATCTAATATTTTAATTTTTATATTTTATAAGTTATAAAGTAAAAACTTTAGTTTAATTATTATGTAGTATGTATTGAATGTACCACTAAATTAATACTTAATAAATACTTCGAGATCATATACATCTCAAAATTAATGAGAGAGATGATCTGGCAAAAATATCAAATTTCATCGAAATCGGTTAAAGTCTCTTGTGGTGTAAAATCCTTTATAGATATGAACACATCCAAACCATAGCGCGTTTTAGGATACAAGTAGCGCCATCTCTTGCAGAACAAGGAAAACTTTTAGCATTAATGATTTTTGATAACATCAATAATAAATAAAAAATATATATTTATGCAGCTCTTATTATTTTTAGTTATAATAATAGACATCAGTAGTAAAGTGAATGATGACCCTAACTTTGTATTATACAAACATCACTTGGATTTCATGTTAAATGATAATTTTGGAAAGCCTTGCATTATCATTTTTAAATTTGGATGGAGCAAGTTTACTAATGACAGAGTAAAATATTTGGGAATAGATAAAAACAACAAATTAAATTTTCCAGGTAAGTCAATATTTTTATTTTGTATTGGTAATTGGCGCCTTCTCCGCTTCGCTCGGGTATGTCCGTGCTGGGTCCGCGGATTTTGTTCACAATATCATGAGTTTTCACTTTTTATTTTCTTGCGCGGCACCCTAATTCTTTTTTCTAAAATAAAAGTAGCCTAAGTTACTTCTCATAACATCAGCTATCTGCTATTGATAGTCCCGTAAAAATCGGTTCAGCCGTTTCGGAGATTACATACATATTTTAATAATTGTTTTTTTCTTATAAGTACTGTAAATACTTTCATATATAGATATTTAGTAAAAAGTTATTTTGACTTTACAAACAGACCCTTCAATTTTATTTATTTGTATAGATTGATTTCCGCTGACTTTTATGCATGTTTAAAAAGATAATAGATTTCCAGGCGCCAGTTTTTTAAAATTCAATACATATAATTTATACCTACTATGAAAAAGATAAAATTCATGAAACCTGCCAGATTTTATCACTCAGTGATACATTCTTTCGACATGTTTGTTATCTGATAAGTTTCATAAGATTTTTTCTTTTTATAAATATCTACAAGGATTTCTAAAGTCATAATTCCATCGCATACTAGCTTTTTATAAGCTAATGGACATTACATTTTAAATTATAACTCCCGACTAAATTATTCATTTACAGGGTTAAGTGAGGAAGTAGCGGAATGGATCACGTCATCATACAAAAACGTTGTAGGTGTAGGTGTGGATACGTCTTCACTAGACCCAGGTTCTAGTACAAATTTCCCGGTCCACAAAATATTATCTAAAGCAGGCTTGTACAATTTAGAGAACGTGAAATTGGATATACATGTGCCTGGTAAATCTATTTACAATAATATCTAATGGTTTTATTTTAATACTAGCATTGCCCGTGGCTCCGCCCGCGTTCAGATGACCAAAAACTAAATTCTTAGGTTTTAATTATTAGTATACTCTTACATTGCAGTTTTTGAATTTTTTCTCAGAAATGAGACATTTTCCCGCGATAAAAAGTATCCCATATGTTAACCCGGAAAACCAGCTATCACCATAACAAATTTCATTAAAATCCCTCCAGTGGTTTTTCCGTGATGCGGTATCAGACAGACAAAAATTCAAAAAACAATAGATTCGCCCTCTGTATCGACAATAATGTCTATTTCAATAAGATTTTCAAAAAAAATATTTAATGTACAGATTCGGCTTAGTTAGAATTTTATTATATGTATAGATATTGAGATTTTAACACTTTAAAGGTACTTGAAATCGTAACTGAAAAATATAAATTAACTAGCAGAACTCGCGGCTTCGCTCGCGCTAACACTACAAAAAAGTCTGAAAAAGTAGGTTTCATACAAATTTTCACGCCTTATTTTTCTGACTAAAGGGATTAATTTCGAAAAATGCTAAAACACGTATTTATTTAATTGTATTAAAGAGCATTAATACTAGGTTCAAGTAATTCTGATCATAAATAATTTTTTGAGTTGTATTATAGCGTATTTTCCGTGTGAATGAGATTATCTCCCGCGATAAAAAGTAGCCTATGTCACTCTCCAGCCCTCCTATTATGCCTACACAAAAAATCACGCCAATCCGTCACTACGTTTCGACGTGAAAGAAGGACAAACAAACTTTCACATTTATAATATTAGTATCGATATAAAAATAGGTACTTACAAAACAGAAAAAAAATATGTAATTTAAATTATATAAATTATTAGTTATTTTTATATTATTCTTTTACATTTTTCAATTAAAAAATATATTTATTATCTGTTAAGTTTAACTTTTACTCTTGTCTAAATAATTTTTCGTATTAGTTTCAGCTACAGAGGTATTTAATGTAATTCAACATAACTATTATATTTTCAGAGCATGACTGTACTGCGCTGGTGATGCCGATGAAAATAGCACAGGGCACTGGAGCTCCTCTTCGATTAGTGGCTATTTGTCCAACTCCAAATAATCCAGCAAATTTTTAACAAATAGAATATGATATAATCATCATTCTATTAATTTATTTAATTTTTCCTTTACAACCAAATAAAAATGCTTTAAAAAAACTATTAGAATTAAATAAATAATAATATGTTAATATATGAAATATGTATTATAATAAAAGAATAATAAACATTGGATGTTATTTATTAAGTAAGAAATGTAACAAAAAAAAGAAACAATGTTTGTCCTTTAAACTTAGTATGTGAGATAATTAACTCTAAATATAAAAAAAAGATTAATCACTTAAAAGTAAATTTTGTTGGATGAGATTTTCGTAAATTAACTGTCGTTCATCGTTCAAGAGTTTAACGCTAGGAATAAGATCGGTATCATCAACGACTTGTGCATGGAAAGGGCCTTTCTCCAGAAATGTGCCCGTATAATGTTCAACAAGAGTATTTCTATCAATATCGGGGTTTATTCTGACGCCGTATAATGTGACCGTGACGGCTGCAGGCGGCAATCTCGCGTATCTCTCACTAATCTCTCTCACATTCGCCAATGATATGATCTCGATGTTACCATAATCAACATATTTCACTTTAACACGACCCTTTGTTTCGCTATATTGCAAAATGGTCGCTCTGTACCACTGTTCGTCATCTGGAAACAACGCGAGACATGCTTTATTTTCGTATATACCATTAAGCGGTGGCATGTCAGAGCTCACACCTTGCAGTTCCTCGAACATTTCCTCATAAGCCTTATTCGTTTCATCGTCGTGTACGACCGCTAGTTCCAATTTATCTACTTCATTCAATACTGTAATGTTACACATAAACTCCGTTTCAGTGAATGGTGAATACGTCATAAAGCTGCCATTGAGGGCTTGTTTTTCCATTTCCTCCTCATCCACCATTTTCACCCAGTCCTCCATTTCATAGTTTCTCATATGTAACGAGGATTCTGAATCTATTGTGCGATCGGCGGTATCGTCGTCTTCTATGATATAATCTGGACCTGAATCAGATTCGAGAGTTTGTTCTAATTTTTGAATTTCCTTAACAGTTGGCGCGAATTTTCGTATAACAGCTTTAGACCCGTCCGTGTATACAGCCATTTCAAAGTCAACAAGATGGTCATTGATCCATAATTTGTCGTATTTAAGTTCTATTGGAATTAGATCGTCTATGGGTTCACCGGTGACCTTTACGTAGCACTGTTTCTCTACAATAGATTTATGTATATAGTCCAAAGTCTGTCTATCCCAATGAGTGTTGATGGGTCGGATTCGGTTTAGTATACACTTATGTGCTTGCATTGGTATTTGATGTAAGACTATGCTCTTTCTTAGATTCTCGAATGCGCATATCTCTTCATTGCCGTAATCGATGTAATGAATTAGACAGTTTGAGGCTTCTTTGTTAACTTCTAAAACCTTCCCTCTATAGAAGCGGTTGTCTAAGAAAAACAACGCAATGCAAGGTTCCCCGACCGTCCATTTAACAAACTTCGCCTTTGGATCAGGATTTTTGAAGCGAACGTCCAGTGCTTTTCGTATCAAATCTAATGTGTCTTGCTGTGAGATTTCATGTAAATAGATTACACCATCGTTATCGATGTATCTGAAAAGATATACATAACTTTAAGGTCAAGAAGGAAATTTCCACAAACAAGATATTATTAAAGAATAATATTTCAAAAAACCAGCTGCAATGTTTGGGATTCGACACAACAAATGAAATAAGCCCAAACACAAAGATTTTGCTAGCCACTGAAGTTTCACTATCCACCTACTCACTCTAACATCAAATTAGTTCGATATTAAACATGTACAAGCTATAAACTTTAAGATTTCATACATGTGGAAGTAATAAAAACAATTGAAAATATGAACATTCAAATTGAGATCCTACACCTTTCTTTGAAGTCGTTTAAAATTTTAAACTTACGTTGGCATCGCTGTAAACTCATTACTTGACAAAGGTTCAGGCGGCAACCAATCCGTTATAAACACAGTATTTGAATTATTAGTATCTTCTACTCTCTGTGTTTCGATGTCATTTAAAGTGGAGTTACTGTCAGAGTCTGAAACAAGCTTCAAAGGTTTCAACGGCATTGGTTCAATTTGCAGCCAATCTTGAAGAGATCCGGTAATATTTAAGAAAGAGAGCATATCGTCCACTGTATTTTCTGTGGTTTTGTCCTTTTCATAGTCCTGCAAGAAAGGTATGAATTGTGCTATTCAAAATTTAAGATAGAAATAACAATTTCTGTTGATATTTAAGTTTTGATGATAGCATAAATAGTAACATCTTTAGTATGAATTATCATTTCTAACAGTTAGTTATTTGAGTGGAATTAAACGATTTTTAATGAACGTTTCTATAATAGTAAATTAAAAAGTAAGTATGTATGGAAATACAGGTCGTAAATTAGTAGTAAAAAGCTAGTTTTATATGCATCGACATAATATATTATATATTAAGTAAAACAATTACCAATTCCGACTTATCAGGTATCCCCAAGCCTTGCTCTATAATCTTTTTATTCAAACAACGCCATTCCGACTTGTTGGGCTCGAGAGCACCGCCTTGTATAGTATGATACACCCATAGCTCTATAGGCATACTTTTCCCTTTGAATTTCCCCAGTTTAGTTATAAAGACACGTTTGTACACATCTAGAAGTTCTTTTAAGTACTCTTTGGTTAAAGACGGCCATTCTTCCCCAATGGCAGGTATAACTCCACACAAATGACACATTATAGCTGCATCACCAAGTGATGCTAGTTCTTGTGGAATATCCCTTAAACTTGATATAGGAACGGTTTCAATACACGCAAAATCCGAATAAAACACTTTAGCGTTTTCGTTTTCAATTTCCAAGATGGCCGCCCGACGCCACGTTTGCGATTGGTTGCAAATCGTACAGCATCGATCACCAACTTTCCAATTTGTTCTGCCTTGTGTTCTCTTTTTGGAATAATACGTTTGTATGTTCTCAAATAGCTCTGTGAATATTTTCTGTTGATGTACAATCGAGACGTAAAGCAGAGATGGTGATTGATAGTTGAGTACTTTGGCCTCTAACCGCAGAGGTCCTTTGTCTTTTGCCTCTAAATCTTCGTTAATTTGTTTTTGGGCTTTCGGTGGTTGTTTATTAAGTATCGTAATTTTGGGCGTTTCATCGGGTTTGGGATTCGGTTTCTGCCCATTAGGAGGAGCAGCATTAGAATATACTAAGTTATTCATTTCTGAATTTTTATTGAACGTAAATAGCCTGCAATAAAATGAATTAAAAATATTATTTAAGTTATACTATTGGGGAAAGAAAAATTATTGACTATACTGTAAGTCTAATTATTTGGAACTAAATCTAGAAATATGAAAACTATTGCATAGTTACCCAAAAGTGACAGCAAATTTATTTTTAATCATTTGAGTGTTGACACATATAACATCCTCTTCGTCTGATTTGTCATATAATGTAACTCCTAAAGAATTGCGATTACGATTATCTTCTACATGTAGTTCTAGAATTCGTCCTTGAAAACTCTCCAATAACGCCACGGAACCAGAGCTCCATTTCCTATTAAGAGGCGTTACACCCGCTAAATGACATTCTTTTGCCTGGAAAAGTTATATATGTAATGCTGTGGTTAGAATATTTCAAATATTAAAATACTGGCAGAACCCGCGGCTTCACCGCGCTAAAACTACAATAAAGAAAAACTCTAAAAAAAGGAAGATTTCATACAACTTTCATCCCCTGTTTTACCCCTTTATGGGATGAATTTCGAAAAATGCTTAAACACGTATTTATTTTTAATTGTATTGAAGAGCATTGATACCAAGTTTCAAGTAATTCTAATCATTTTTCGGGATGTATTATAACGTGTTTTTCCGTGGGAATGAGATAATCTCCCGCGGTAAAAGGTAGCCTATGCCACTCTTCAGCTCTATCTTGTCACAAAATATCACGCAAATCCGTCACTCTATTTTGACGTGAAAGAAGGACAAACAAACAAACGAACGCACTTTCGCATTTATAATATTAGTATGGATCACATATATATGTTGACATCAACAAGATTTGCTATACAGTGGTGACTTTATTAATTACTAGCTACCAACCCTTACTTTGATTGGGTGCCTCAATAGGTGCCTTTATTCTATATAACATGTCTACCAACGTGAAGGAGTTACAAATATACTACGAGTAATACAAACATTCGCATTTATAGTCCGATATATAATAGACTGAGAATATATATTATGTATATATGTATGTAATGAGGATTTATAAGGACTAAAGAATGAACATTTGTTATGACTTCAAGTATCACAGAATACAGACAAAAATTAAGGTTTTAGAGTTATATAGAGATACACAATTATAATATCTAAGGAGTAAGTGAGACCGATAGAGGAGCAAGACAGCGATAGAGTGGGAACGACTCACGAGCGCGCGCTGCACAGTGAACTTGTTCAGTATGCGGCGGAGCGCCGTCCAGTGCACAAGTACGTGCGCGCCGATGTCCGGCAGCAGCAGGCGCACGCGCGCGCGTCCCGGCAGCTCCAGCACGACGGCCCGCGCCCAGCTCGCTCCCAGACCGCACTTCTCAATGTTCGCCACGCATGCCATGTCTGAGTCACAACGTATTATATACTAGGTACGTTTTAATTTTTTTGAGCGGAACCCTAATTCTTTTTCTAAAATAAAAGTAGCATATGTTACTCCCTATAACATCAGCTATCTCCCAGTTAAAGTCCCGTCAAAATCAGTCCAGCCGTTTCAGAGATTATCCGGAACAAACAGATAGACAGACAAAAATTTAAAAATGTGTTTTTCTTATAAGTACCGTATATAAGTTAAGCTGTTTCTGAGTTTAGCGCGCACAAGCGCACAGATAAACAGAAAAAATCTAAAAATCATTGTTTTGGGTTCTATTGCATTAAAAAAGACCCCCAATAATAGTTTTTCTCAAATATCTTCCGAGTACACACAGCGGTCAGTCACACTTTTAATTTATGACATATAGACTAGCAAATTAATATTAGACTAAATGTATTTTGGATTTATAATATTATATACAGGCAATGACAAATTTTGCCAAATTTTTATACTAAGTATACAAAAAAAAAGTATGTAGTTACTCTAGTCCATAGTCAGCAACGAATGAAGATAGAGTAACAAACAAATACATAAACACATAAACATTTACATATATATATATGTATATATATATATATATATATATATATATATATATATATATATATATATATATATATATATAATAATAGTATGATAGAACACCACTCTAAGCCACGCATTCTATAATAGCTCTTTAAACATATACGACGTATATAGTAAGTAGCTTGGCAACATACTGTAATCACACGGGAGTAAACGGAAAAGCTTTTTTTATTTGGGAATATATCCCTATAAATAATCTCTGCTTTTCAGTCCATAACAAAGAACACCAGAACAAAGTGTGAAAAAACACACATTTTTAAAAATTAAGCAAAAAATAATTCAGATTCAGTTTATTTTGTTCTTAAAAACAATTGACGACAATACTTACTTTTTTCCGGCAAATAAATACTACCCGCCTTGACACTCAGATTGTATTCTTGCTCCAAATCTTCACATAATTTTTTATAAGCATTTTGCAGATGTTCCTATTTAAAAGAAAAAAAAAACCGTAAAACTTACAAGCATACATTAAAACTGTTCAATACTTAGTTATGTAAAAATATGTGTTCAGAATTAACTTAAATAACCTTTTTATTTAATTGTACTAGCATTGCCCGCGGCTCCGCCCGCGTTCAGATTACCAAAAACCAAATTCTTAGGTTTTACATATTAGTATACTCTTCCATTGCAGTTTTTTGTATTTTTTCTCAGAAATGAGATATTTTCCCGCGGTAAAAAGTATCCTATATGTTGATCCGGATAACCAGCTACCATCATACCAAATTTCATCAAAATCCCTCCAGTTGTTTTTCCGTGATGCGGTAACAGACAGACAAAAATTCTAAAAACTATAGATTTGGCCGATAATAATGTCTATTTCAATAAGATTTTCCAAATAATATTTAATTTACAGATTCGGCTTAGTTACAATTTTATTATATGTATAGATTGTCAAGTTATATTTAGTTTAAGTATAAAATTTATTTAAGCGCGAACGCAATGAACGCTGTATTTTTTTGGACTTGGTAAATAAAAACCGTGACAGTTCGCTTAAAATACACACAATAAATACATATAATAAAATAAAAATAATATTATTATATTAGGTCTAAGGGAAAGTTCTGTCGTTTTTTTCCTAAAAGAAAGAACATTTTTTTTTCACTTTTTATTAAATAATCATCCAAAATATAATGTCCTTTATTAGTTACAAATGTCTGCCAGCGATCTGGCAGCTTATCTAACCCACTGAGAAAAAATTCCTCTTTTTTGGAGACGAAGTATTATTTCACTGCTAGTTGGACACCATCATAATTTATATATTTATTTCCATCAATAAAGTATTACAGCGACTTAAACAGATGATAGTCAGATGGTCCAATATCTGGAGAATATGCTGGCTGAGGTAAAGTTTCCCAACCCAACTCTGCAATTTTTTGTATGGTTTTTCTTGCCATGCGTGGTCTAGCGTTGTCGTGGTGATGAATCACCCCCTTTCTGTTGGCCAAACATGAACGTTTTCATTGAATTTCTTTATTTAAAACATCAAGTTGCGGACAGTAACGATCAGCATCGACAGTTTCAGTCGCTTTCAGCAAGTCATATTGCACTATACCCTTGCAGTCCCACCAACAACACAACATAACCTTCTTCGGATGCACGCCAGCTTTGGATGTGGACGGTGGTGTCTCCCCTTTATAAACATATACTCTTTTTCTAACCACGTATTTATAAACTATCCAGTTTTCATCTCCACTCACCAAGTAGTCCAAAAACGGCCCCTTTTTGTGACAAGCAAGATTTGAAGAACATATCGAAATTCTGTCGATTAAATTTATTCGCTTAATTCGTGTGGCACCCAAACAGAGAGTTTAGACACGAAACCAAGCGTTTCAATGTATCTAAAAAGCAGTAGTCTGGTGAATTCAAAGCTTGAAACCTACTTTTGTGGAAGTTAACGTGGGATTTGTCTTGATCATACTGCGTAGCACTTCGTCATTGACATCTGATGGCCTTCCTGAACTGGGTTGATCTTTCAAAGAAAAATCACCTGAACGAAATTTCCCAAACCACTTTTGGCATATTCGAGCTATTACTGCGTCCTCTCCAAACACGTCACACCAGATTTTTTTGCCTTCATCGCATTATTCCCTTTTTGGAAGTCATATAACATACAATGTCATAAATGCAATTTTTCTTCACTCATATTGACAGTTTTAAAAGTTTAAAAAAACTGACTTAAATTCGAAAAAATGTGTATAAATCATCAATTATATACTAATCTAACTATTTAAACTGGTTTCAGTCGGATCAGAATTCTAGGTAAGGATCGGCAACGCATAAAAGTGCACGAGTTCAAAAACGACAGAACTTTCCCTTATACCAATAGGTTTCTAATAAGAAAGTAACAAATTACCTCTCTAACGAAGAAATTATCAGGGCTGATAATGTGCGTAATGTATACTTCTTCAACGGAGTTTCTCTTACTGTCATGGTAGCCGATAAGTATTTTTGGTTTTTCATTTACTCCTGTCATCTTTGGATACTGAAAAGAAAGATTTAGAAGTACAGTCATAGTATACTTTATTCACATACAGAGACAAGTGATAGTTACAAAAAATAATTTAGATATTACGAGTCATAATCACAACTAATCGGAACGCGAGCGCCATATTTTTGGGCTCGACAGAGTCTACGTCGTGACACTCGACCGGGCTCGGCGGAGTTACGCTTGGTCGGTCGCACAGTGAACACTAGTAGAAACTGTCTTGCGTTCCGCATTGTCTATACGTGGTAATAGTGAAGTGAAGAGCTATATGGTTGTGTAGTGAAGTGTTGAGTAACTATGTACAAAGTGATTATTGTGAATTTGTAATACAACTTTGATTGCAACGACTTTTCTTTATTTGAACCAACGCTTCCCGTTTAACGCCCACTGTATAAGTCATGATAAAATAATGGAAAATAATAGGGAAAATTAATGCTGCTTCGACACTATTTGTTGTTATAGGGACAATAGAAATACACACTCTGTAAAAATTTCAATCCTCTACCTGCTAGTGCCTGACAGACGGACGGACAGCGGAGGCGTAGTAATTTATACTATATATTCTTTATAATATATAAAGATAAAAGAAGTAAAGTTTGTGAGCTTGTGACGTTATATTGGGGTAATCTCTGGATCTACTGAACCGATTTAGATAAAATTTGGCAAGAAGATAGTTTGAGACCCTGGGAAGGACATAGAATACTTTTTATCTCGCAAATCATCCCTTAAGGGGGTGAAAATGATAATGAAATTTTGTTTGGGGAATCAAGCTAGGGACGAAACCGTGCGAAGCGAGGGTGAGTCGCTAGTTAATAATAATCCCATTGGCACCCTTCAGGTATGGAACCCTAAAGAAAATATAAAGTCACATCCATACCGGCATAGGGCAGGGCAGCTTGGCGCGGCCGTGGAAGGCGAGCGCGTGCGCCACGCTCACGCCGTGCTCGAACGTGGTCACGTCGCAGTACAGCTGCGCGCCCGCCACGCGCCGCACGTGCAGCACCGCCTGCTTACTGTACAAGGAAGTTAAATAAATAAATATATTAATGTTGGGACATTAACACACAGCATCATCTAGTTCCATGGTAAGCTACGAGGCTTGTGTTATGGATACCAGATAGTTAATACACTACACATACATAACTTTAAATACATACATATTATAAATATAAAAACAACCATGACTGGAGTACAAACATTCGGGCTTATCACACAAATAAATTGCCCCATCGGGACTCGAACTCGCGACCGCTGGCACAGCAAGTAGGGTCACTACAAACTGAGCCAAATGTGTTGTCAGTTCAGTCAGTTATATTAAATATCAATCAATTAACACGTTTTAATTCAACAGTATTAAATATTAGCTACCTAGGTAGTTAAAAAAATATATAGGGTCATTTTTAATTTACTGAAGACCTTTTGGGAATATACTATTTACATCATAACAACATCTGTAACTAGACAAAATAATATGTCGGTGTGCTTTGGCTAAGTAATTAAAGCCTACCTATTAAATACATACCTAATCAAATTACTTTTTAGTGCTTTTGTTTTTATTTTTTTGTTCAAAAGTTTTTATTTTTCCCTTTTTAGTGTAGAAAGTAGTAGCAAAGTACGAATTTTAACGTGTTAGGCTTGTCAAATCAAACAAAATAAGCCCAAACTCAAAATATCTACTATTAGTCCTTGAAGAGTTCCACCTATCCACCTTCTGGCCTTGCCATCAGATCAGGTCAACAATACCGAACCACTGTACTATCAACGGAAATAGAAACACTTGCAAAGTTTCAAGTCAATATGACAATTAGAAGTAGGTTAAATTCATCATTAGCTATTTTTCCACCCTTAGGGGTGTTTTTTTTTTGAAATTTAAATGGGACCAATCTGGAAGTATACACTTTCAAACAAGACAAAAATTGTCCAAATCGGTTAATAAATGACGGAGTTCTGAGGTAACAAACATAAAATACAGCCGAATTGAGAACCTCCTCCTTTTTGAGGAAGTCGGTTGAAAAACCATGATAAATAGCGTCATAAAAAAACCCCTCCCACTCCACCGGCCACGCGTTTTTAATACTGGCCTATTACCGTTTAGAAAGTGCAATAAAAATATTTTTATTTTTGTAAAATTTAAGAAATATTATTTTTGTCTTACAGATGTTGCTATGATGTAAATAGTATATTCCCAAAAGGTCTTCAGTAAATTAAAAATGATATATTATGCAATATGCACGTGCAACACCGTCTACCTAGTGAGTTACTGTACAGGGAAATAATGTTAACATTCGCATTTCCCACAGCTCCATCCGCTTAGTTCAAAAAAAGTAACATAATTATGCATAATATGTAGCACCACCTGCTTACTCTACAGGGAAACAATATCTAATATATTTCAACAAGCAATTCTTGTATATATATATCAATATATAATCTGAGTCTCGGAAACGGCTCCAACGATTTTCATGAAATTTAGTATACACGGGGTTTCGGGGGCGATAAATCGATCTAGATTAGTCTTATGTCTAGGAAAACGCGTGTTTTCGAATTTTCATGCAATTTTCTTTTGTATAACAATACAAAAGAAAATCAATGAAATGCGTGGAACACCACGCAAAATATTATGTTCGATAATTTCGCACGGTCGGATATAAGTAGCGTAAATGCATTTCCCAACGTTAAAAAAAAAGGTACTTATTTGTTATGTATTATGTATAGTATTATATAATCTGTGTGGGTGTGGTATTATTATTATATTTTTATAAGTTTATGCGATATGTTGTACTGTGTACTGTGAACGGAACTATCATATTTATTATGAATATTAAAAAACAATTATTTGAGGTCAGTAATATACGTAAAAGTTAAAATGTTGTTATCACACATAACTACATGAATCGTAAACATATTTAATACATACTTATCGATAATATTCTGTATGAGGAATGAGTCGTCGCTGCTCCAGTCGCCGTTGATGGGCTCGCAGTTGGCGAGCGCGCAGCTGATGGCAAACGGCGGCGGGGCTTGCGCGAGCGCTGGCGGGATTAACCTCAGTCTGAAAAATTATTTATATAGTAATTATTTAATATTATATTTATATTTAATACTAGCAGAACCCGCCGCTTCGCTCGCGCTAATAAATAAAAACTGTATAAAGAGTAGGTTTCATACAAACTTTCATCCCCATATTTTACCCTTTATAGGATGAATTTCGAAAAATGCTAAAACACATATTTATTTAATTGTACTGAAAAGAATTAATACCAAGTTTCAAGTAATTCTGATCATAAATATTTTTTTGGTTGGTTTGCTTGTATTATAATTATAACGTATTTTCCTGTGGGAACGAAATGATCTCCCGCAATAAAAGTAGCCTATGTCACTCTCCAGCTATCCAACTATCTTCACACCAAAAATCACGCCAATCCGTCACTCCGTTTCGACGTGAAAGAAAGACAAACAAACACACTTTCACATTTATAATATTAGTATGGATTATAATATTTATATTTATTATGTGTATTCAGGCTGTTTTAAAGTCCCATTGCTAGGCACGGGTCTTGAAGGAAAGGGGGATCAGGCCATAGTTCAGTTAGCCATGTGGAGGTTATTTTAATTACATTCTAATAATTTTTATTAAATAACCTACACATATTATTCTTTATTGCACTTAAAATATATAGGGAAAAATTAAATACAATGAATGAATTTGTAATTATATTACATTCTAATACTTTTTTTAATTATATTTTTATTTAAAAAAAACATATTGAGCTATGTAGTTTTACAGAATACATGCTGTTAGGTAGCCCTTCTTCTATGCAAACATATATTGTTTTTCCTATACATATATTCGTATGTATAATATTAGTTTAAGCATAATATGTATAACTATACTAGGTATTAGATTATTTTTGTTATCTACAGTATGAGCTATTTAGCTCACCTAAGATGGTGCTTGATAATATAAGCCAAGCTATATAAAAATGGACATCGACAGTAGTATCAATAAGTTGCTAATAATAAATTGTTAAATGACCCTTGGGTTTAACAAAGTCTGCCTAAGAACTTTTAAGTTTAACATAAAAAACTTACTATATTATCTAATATAAAAATCTCTAATATATAAATATATTTGGTAGGTATGAGAATAGATCTAAAGTATTTTTCACCTTCCTATCTCCACCCCCCATTTTTTAATCGCCATATATAATATTGTTCATACAAAAATACTAAATTTATGTATGAACAATATTATATAAATAGATGAAGCCTGTATGACATAAAGCTGAAGAGTTTTTTTTGTAGATTTAACGTGGGCGTAGCCGCGGGTTCTGCTAATTATAATATATTGTACTCACTTGTCAATAGTGACGGCTATTGTACTGCCAAAGTCGACACAAAAGACATGGAAGATTGGTTTGTTCGCGTCCTTGCTGTCAATACTGACGATCGTACATCTCTGCCAAAAATTGTCTGCTTTGTTGAAAACTATATAAATTTTTCCTGCAGAGAAAACAAATCATGTTATAAGAATAAAAAACAAAAACAAAATCATACCACCGAAAATTATTACTTATATATATATATATATATATATATATATATATATATATATATATATATATATATAACACAAATATGCCATTATCCCATTATGCCTCCGATGTTATCAAAGCAATAAATAACTTTATATTTTCTTATGTAAATGCATTAGGAATCTATTAAATATTTCTTGGAAAATCTTATTAAAATATTCATTATTATCGATACAAAGAGGCCGAATCTATAGTTTTTAGAATTTTTGTCTGTGTGAGAACGCATCACGAGAAAAACACTGGACAGATTTTGGTGAAATTTGGTATGATGATAGCTGGTTATCCGGGTCACCATATAGGGCACTTTTTACTATGGGAAAATATGTCATTTCTGAGAAATCTATGCTAACCTTAAACGTACCAAGGGACGAACGCAAGACCGAGTCGCTAGTATTATAAAAATTAATAATGCATTTACGTAAGATTTGATTAAGATGTTTTAATTAATACAATGTATTTATTAAAACATCTTACGGTACTAGATTCTTTGAATATCTCACCAGTAATTAATTTCCGTCAACAAAGGCGTCAGAGTACATTAGTGTACAAATAAAAAATGTTATTAAATTGTATACATGTCGTTAGTGCGACTAAAACAAATTCCGTGTACGTACCATTGTTAAAAGATTGCTTTTACAGCATAGCCCGTAACCCGATACCAAGTATTATGATATCGTAATGTTGATGTCAGCTAACTTAACAGCTCTCGTCTTATTATGTCAGGTAATAGGTTTAATTCTATTTACGAGTTTGTCTCAAGAGTTTTTATTTGACTTTATTTATCGCAATTTATTTTCAATTTTCATTATCTTTTATATATAAAGTTTATCTCTTAAGTAAATGTGATGATAAAGGCCTAATATTTTATATTTTATTAACATCACTCAACAAAAACACTTTTTTACTTATAAAATGAACAATATAATATGTAAGTCAACAATAGTAAGAAAACTATAATACAGTTTATTTATAAATCTATACTAATATTATAAAGAGGTAAAGTTTGTGACGTTGTAGGGGGTAGTCTCTGGATCTACTGAATCGATTTAGATGAAATTTGGTAAGAAGATAGTTTGAGACCGTGGGAAGGATAATAGGATACTTTTTATTACAGAAATCATCCCTTACGGGGAGAAAATGGGGATGAAAGTTTGTATTGGGAGGCAAGCTAGGGACGGGGATAAAACATTAATCTCTAAAGCACCTTCAGCAACGTGCTGCAGCGTGGGGCGCGGCAGCGCGGCGGCGTGGCGCAGGTCGCGCATGAGGCGCTGCACGCGCGGCTGGTGGCGCGCGCGCTGCACGTACAGCTGCCGCGGCGACACGATGTGCGAGATGTAGATCAGCTCTTGCGTACCTACACACACAGAGCTTTAGATAAACTTATAAAATTTTAACAAATTCTACACAAATGATTTGCTCTAAATCGTTAATAGTTGCTATATTTTGAAGTGAAATGTCTTTAGAATCGTTGTGATTTGAAACTAGATGAAACGGAAATCCGACACTAGTAAGAGACAAACAGATAAACATATATGAGTAAGCTGGCGAAAGAATGAGATACACAGGAAGTGAAAAATAATACTGAATAATATGTTATGTAATATATTACGTTAAATAAAATGTACAATAACTTTTACTTAGTAAAAAAAAAACTAAACTTAAGTTACTTATTACTGTGCATAAATTAAATAAAAGCTATTATGACTAATTATTGTTGCCATGGTAACCGTTGTTATTGTCTGACAAATATAATACATATTGAAACTCGAGATTAAATTCAATAATAATAAATACTTTAATAATAAAATTACATTTCTTAATTAAAACTGTAATCGTATATACATATGTATTTATTAAAATTTACATTAAACATTTCTACTAAATTATTTACAACGTTCTTCCTTGCAAGTGCTTAGAAAGGAAGTACTTATCAAAATTGCTGACCAAACAAAATGGTAAATAGTAAAATATGAATGGAATGAAATGGAAAATTAAACTTTTAAATGCAATAAACTAAACTTAAAAAGTTTTCGTAAATATTAGTCCAACAATAATAAAAAAATAATTTTAAATTTTACAACATATATAAGAATTTATTACCTTCAACTAGTGGTTGTTCAATTTCCTCGTTTGGAGCGATTGGCTCTGTTATCTGTTTGTTGTCATCTAGAAAAATTGAAATTGTATTATCCATACTAATATTATAAATGTGAAAGTTTGTGAGGATGGATTAATGGATGTTTGTTACTCTCACACCAGAACGGCCAAACGGAACTGGATGAAATTTTGCACAGAGATAGATTATAGTTTGGAATAAGACATAGGCTACTTTTTACCCTGGAAAAATGTAAGGTTCTCGTGGGATAGGTTTGTTTTTGTTATCCCAGAGGCGAACCCGAGCGAAACGAGAGTGAGTCGCTAGTATAAAAATATAAATAACATAAAGTAATTTAATTTTCCAATTACAAATAATAATTTAGTATGTATTTATATATATATATATATATATATATATATATATATATATATATATATAGTATAGTATAGAAAGGTAGTTAACTTTGAATCAGTAAACTTAAATAACTTTATAAGATAAATATCATTTAAATTGATTATTACATTATTAACTTACATGACTGATAAGTTTTTTGTGAGGAGTCACTGTTGTTAGAATTCAGAGACGAGCAGGAACCGCTCTTGCTGCGATATTTAGGCATTTTGTCCAAGAAATTTAGTGGTTTAACATTTTCTTTAACTGGTTTCTGTTTTGGTTTGTTAAGCTGTCTTACATCTGTGGGCAATAAAATTAGTATTTAATTCACATACATATGTTTTCACACAAGACATGAAAAAATATTAGTTTTTTTGGGCCACCTATATTATGTATATAATTGAATAAAATTGGTGTTATATCAAATCAATCAATCATGATATTAGAGTATTTATGTTTTTTGTACACAGTTTTCTTTTGAGCTATGTTAACTACCCTGAATATAGTTAATTATTTTATTGTATATTTAAGGATCAAAGGTCGGGAACTAAAATGCGTCCTCAGTGTATTGTGATAACTCAAAATGGCTTAAATACAATAAAGCAAAAAAATAGTTGGCATAAAAACCATAACCCGTTTTATAACTATCACAAAATGAAGGTTTTCTTATAGTCCTTTGTTTGTATGGTACATTGTTGCATATGTACGTACCTATTTTACCTTAGTAACATATAAATTTTCATGTTGGAAAAAATATGGGGGTACAAGCAATGTTTACGGGTTAGAAGCATATACCGACATAAAAAAGACGCTTACTTAGTAACATTTATCTTAGTTTTAAAGTCCCACATATATTCCACACACTTTTGTGGACTGAAAAATTTTGTTCCATTTCTGTAGTGCTACCGCTGCTTCTTTATTTTTTCGTAATTTGACTACAGAATTGTCTAACGTTACACATGAGACTACTTACTACCAACTAGATGTCAGCAATATATATTCATTAGTTCTTGAATAAAACGACTGTAACTTATGGGCAAGACGATTTTTTTTCAGAAAGTGTACCGTTTTCGCCTTTAGGCTATGAAACTCCAAAAATTAAACATTGCAATATTTTCATCTCTATTTTTTCTTACTATAATAATGGTATATATTGTTTACCTTTGATTAGTTCAGGCGGATACACAACAGACGCGGGCGCCGCCGGTATGTCCGTATTATTCTCAACCAATTCCTCTGTAGTACAAAGATTGTATACAGAATTTGCCTTGCCTTTAAACTGCATGTAATCCTTTATTAACGAAAAGATGTCTTCATTTACGGTCACACTGTAAGAGAGGTAATACAGTTACATTAACTCAAATAGTAATTATTCTAGTTTAAAGGGTGGAAGTATTAATGAAAGAAAATGATTTAAATTTCTTATACAGTGTTTTAAAAGAATCCTTAAAATAGGTATAGCTAAGGCACATGCCAAATTGAGAGAATGATTTAACATTTTTATTTGTTATAATTAGGAATATATTATCAATTTCCTTTGAAAATATCTATCTTGTGTACCTTTATATACCTATTTAAAGTATCATTCAGAGGTATGTCGAGTTGTAGTAAAACAGATGAGACACATATTTTACTACAACTCAGTCTAATGTATTGGAAATGTATTTTTGAAATTATACTTCTCTAGGCACATATAGAAAAAATTGTGAGAGTAAAATTTTTATGATGCGCGCGCACACCGACAGCCAAAAAGCGACATGATGAAGTTAGTTGCATTCCTTTTATAAGCAGAGAGTTGTGACATACGGGATGAAATCTTTAGCTATTTTTGTTCTGTAAAGCCAAGGAAGTATAACTTCTTACGTGCGTACATAAGTACACACAAACATCTTTTTTTTATAGAGAAAAAGTGTATTATTTAGTAAAGTGAAGTAAATATCATTTAGTCATAAGTTATTTGTCACAGTGGCAATAGTTTTATTTAGATGTACAAAATACATTTATTTAGAACTTACTCTAAGGTATTCTCCGATTGATCTCGGTTCAGGTACCAAGGTGCATTAACAATTGCATTTGCATCATCCACTATAGCAGATAGATTCATCTGAAACAAATCCATAGTAATATTTTAAATGTTAAATAACTTTTTGCTTTTTACGTTTTGACACCTAAACTGCTAAGCCAATTTGATGAATTTGATATATAGATAGATGGGACCTTGGAGAAGGACCAGATATTTAAAAATAAAGATCAAGGGAAGCGAGCATGGGAATATTAAATGTAAAAGATACCTAGGTCCGCACCCGAGCAAAGTGAAGGTAAGCCACTAGTTATTTATGAAACTTCATACCCACATTATTCCTTAATTAAAAACTTCAGACACAGACCTGCCATGTATTGTGTGTGTAACTTTTATTATCAATACAATACATGACATGTATAGTATAGTTAATAAAAGTTAAAAAGCATTTGTTTTTAGTTTTAGGTTTGGCATTAGGTGCTGTTCTGCTAAAAATGTAAACAAGTACCAACAACAATTCAAGTAATCTTAACTTTTTATGTGCAATTAATTTGGTAGTGGGAGTTTACAAAGAAATTAAATGATGAAGTTAAAGGTTTGTTTGGAAATTCTTACTTGACAGCCTGAGAAAGTCAAGTTATCCCTTAAATATTTTAGCCAATACAAACACTATTAAAAGAAAATAAAGAAATTGTAAAAACTTTTCTACAGCTGTCAGAGAAAAAACAATATATTCACCTCTTTCAATTTGTTTGGGTCTAATGAGTTTATTTTATTTAAAGCAATTTTTGCTTTTTTAATATTGTTAGCAATATCAACTTTAGCTTTCTTTAATGAGTCTATTTCAGAAAATTTTAAGTTTAACACTTGTTGGGTTATTTCCTCTTGTTGCTTTTGTATGGTTGAATGGAGTTTGGAGAAATGTTGATCAATTTTGTTAATTAAATTTGTGTACTCAGTGGCCCTGGAGTCATCCTCTATTTTTGTCAGTAAATAGCCTACATCCTGAAAACATTTATTTTAATGATGATTCTCTATTATTATTTATATCTGTTTCATTATTTAACAGAATCAAAAACTAGATAGATACTTCATTAATTTATCTATATACTTACAACAGCTGTCTTTGACAGTCGACGAAACATTTCATCCACTTTAGGGCTAATATTAGCCAGATCAGCCAAAAATTGTTCATTCTACAAAAAAAAATATATACATTGAGTTTATAATAAGTAAAAAATATGTATATAAAAATAAAATTATTTTTGAGGTTCATTATGCATGCACATTTACTTTTATGTTGTCAATGGTCAAAATCAGTTATGAAAAGTCAAGGTTTAAAATTAACGAGTCATTAAACCTATTTAAATATAAGTATTTATGTATGTAAAATAGTTTATACTTACAACTTCTTGTATGGAAGTAATATCATGATTTTTGCAGGACTTCTCCCCTCCGACCATTAAACAGTCCATACAAATAGACTTTGAACAATCTTTGCAATAGTAATCCAATGGCTTATCTTGATGGATTTTACAAATGTTCTTTTGTATATTCCCCTCTAAAAATATATTTAATTTTGTGTAACTTAATTATTCTACTTCACAATACTCGAGACTATAATACAAATAATGACATCTAATAAAAAATCTAATACAGTGAAAAAATTTAAATGGTAATGGTACCTATGTTTTTTAGTGCATGACTTTTAAATATGATAAAATTTTTGTGGCTTTTATTGAAGCAATTGTTGCATACAATAATGTCACATTGTTCACACATTTTTGAAGTGGATCCATGGCACTCAATGCATACTCCTGGAAAAATTAAATAAACTAATTAGCAGAAATATTTAAAAAAAAAAATCTTAAGCAAATGATCAACATATTCCATTTGCTAGAAGGTCGGGTACACATCTACTGTGTAACAAGATTTTTGTAACACAATTTTGAATGGTTAACAATTTTATTATGCCTCTGATTAATACAAATATTGTTACTCTATTGCCTTTTATTGCACAAATCTATGTATGTGTCATTAAATATAAAATAAATTTGGTCTGATAAAACTTATTTGTAAATACATAAACTAGTTATATATTTGTTCTTTTTTTAATTTTAACATACCTTGAGTAGATTCAGTACTTTTAATGATCCCTTTGATATCTATGAAGCATTCATCTTTACAACTGCCTTTGTTATGACTTTTGGACTGCAAGTGATACAGTGAGAATTTTAAATTCTAAAACCACTAGTAACTGTTTGATGAATAGGTAAATTGTAAATAATATTATCTTACCTCCAAACATTGTAAGGTAAGCTCTCCAATCATATAAATGTTGACTGGAAACAATGAATGCAGTGAAATTTTCTTTTGCTTGTACAAATCCAAGTAATTGAAATTGATTTGCATATCTTGATTACAAACTTTACATATAAGTGGCTCATCAAATTTTAATATATTTATAATACAATTTTCACACATTGAGTGTCCACAGGGGAGGAATAATGGTATGTTTCCATTTGTGGATTCCGCAGCTGAAAAAAATATATATTAGACATATTTTTCTTCTTTTTACGTATACAATAAAGAGTTGCTTATTATTATTAGATATCTTATATCCAGTTCATCATATCAATTTTAAATGTAATCACTTTCTTTATGTTTTATTTGTAGGTATTCATATAACATGGTTCAAATTTATTTGGTTCATTATACCTAGGTACAATACTAGGTTTAATAATAAAACAAATAAAATCTAAAATAATTACGACGCTTACATTTTAGTTGGTAAAACTGACTGCAACTTGGGCAGGATTTCTTTATTTTTGCATCCATTGCACCTAATATTTTTCTGTATGCGCTATTAGTTTAGTTTAACACCGGCATAAACAAACGGTCATAATCGTAAAATAATAGTTGACAGTTGTAGTTGTCCTGCAAGCTACCAACAAATGATGTGGATTATTTTTAAGATCAAATTGATCAATTTTACGAGTAGTATCATCGATCACTAATAAAGAAGTATTAGTGATCGATTTCAATGCGTAGTGTATTTAGATCTGGGAATATTATAACGTTTTTAATTGCTACAAACAACTAAACCACAAACAAAATAATGAGTTTTAGTTTATATATGTAGCAATATACTCTATGGTTTTAGCAGAATGCAACTAGTGATGCAGTGTTGCCAACACTTGAAATTTTACCCCCAGAGTAATTTCAAAAACCCCTTAACTGACAATTTGAAAAATGTAGGTTCTTATCTAATACTAGCATTAACTACGGCTTCGCCCGCGTTCTGATGACATAAAAACCAAATTATTAGGTTTTATATATTAGTATACTCTTACATTGCAGTTTTTATATATTTTCTCAGAAATGAGATATTTTCCCGCGGTAAAAAGTATCCTATATATAGACCCGGATAACCAGCTATCACCATACCAAATTTCATCAAAATCCCTCCAGTGGTTTTTCTGTGATGCGGTAACACAGGCAGACAGACAGACAAAAAATCTAAAAACTATAGATTCGGCCTCTGTATCGACAATCATGTTTATTTCAATAAGTTTTTCCAAAAAATATTTAATGTACAGATTCGGCTAAGTTACAATTTTATTATATGTACCTATAAACTATTTCTTTAAATTTTTTTTTCCTTCAATTTTAAATGATTACAAGTACATAGCGTAAAAAACTTATTTATAAATATTATTATAATAATTATATATAACCGTTTAATAATAATAAATTTCATAATTATTTTCCACCTCCCCCATAACTTCGTTATGGATAAAGCTAGAAGCCTGAATTTTCAGTGACTAAAAGAATTGCTTAACCTTAGATTGAATGTAAATAGGCTATACGTGTGGCGTCCTCATTTCGAGACATCTTCCCCAGTAAAAATATAAGCCAACCCTCCAAGTGTTAAACATAACTAATAGTTAGTAATAAAAACATATGGCAGGATGCCTTATTAAATAATTAGTCATGTCTATATTTAATAAGGTACTTTTCCATATCTTTATAGGTTCTTGTGAAAAATGACTTTGAAGCCCAGTTCACATTATTCCATTAACATTCCAGTCCATCGATTGAAACCAGCGCTAAAATACCCTTGGAATAATGTAAACCGGCTGGAATAATGTAACCGGAAAAATGTAAGCCGATGCAAAGCAATTTTAATATATTTCAATACGTAAAATACATATTTACATATTTGATTTTCATATCTTAAAATATTGTAGGCTTGCACCGACTTCGAAAATATCTGATTAGGTATCTATTCGAAATCAAAACCTCCGTTTAGTTATTTTTTACATTTTAGTGCCTGGATCGGTTTTTTCTATATATTTTTATTTTTCCATTTTTAGTGTAGACGTAATAAGCGGGTAATTTGTAAGAAGAAAGTTTTTAATACCACATTCGATTAAACAATTTATTTAAAAAAATAATTTATTGGTAATTTTTCAAAAAATCGCTCAACCGATTTCGATAAAATTTATATGGGAAGTTCCTGGGAAGTATAATACCCTTTGAAACAAAAAAGATCCAAATCGGTTCAGGAGTCTTCGAATATTCGGTGAACACCGACGAATTGAGAACCTCCTCATTTTTGGAAGTCGGTTAAAAATTAAAAAATATGTTTATCCCTTATTGAGAAATGATTGATTGTCCATTCAATCTTCCATCCTCCTTTCACTCCCTTATATATGATATGCTTTCCGAGATGAAAACTATCTTATGTCATTCCAAGAGTCTCAAAATATTTCCGTACCAAATTTCATCGAAATCGGTTCACCGGATTAAGCATGCAAACGTGACGGGCAGACGGACAGACAGACTTAATTTCGTGTTTAATGTTAGTATGGATATATAAAGCTGGCTTTTTTTTTGGTCAATCGGTTCATTACTTTTTGCTTGAAACGCGCACATCGATTTGAGTACTTAGTTTTATTATATGTACATATAGATAAGAATAGGTATTGCGACTGTACCTTAGGATATAGGTACATACTATTGCACACTTTTCTGTAGGCCTTTTCAAGACCTATATTTTTTTAGTACATTGTTTTGATGTATGCCTTAAGGTTTAGTTAGCGGAAGGTTTCTAAGGAGAACTCGATAAAACCAGTGATGTGTTTTCCCGGGGAAAGAAAGATTTTCCTGATATACTCGTAAAAAGTATCCTTGATGTTGACTCGAGTAATAAGTTATCACTTCACCAAATTTCGTTGAAATTGTTTAATTACTTTTTGCGTGAAACACGCACAAACAAACAGACATACAGACAAACAGACAATTTTTTTAGTAACTATTGTTTTGGGATTTATATGTGTACATAATACGTTGCAGTCATTGTTTTTAAAAAATATTTCATGTACAGATTTTGCTAAGTTACTGCTTTTTTATAGATAACTTAGAAAAGCAACTTTGCTGGCTTTCACTGGTTTAAATTCTTAAAACTCGCATCTTTATAGAAGCCGACAGCTGAATCAATTTTAATGAGTCTTTCACTTCTAGATAATCATTAGAGTGACATAGCCACAATTTTGTAATAGGTAGTTCTCTAATTGCTTAATAAAAATATTAAGTTATCACGAAATAATGTTACAAATACTTACTTTATTCAGATTTAACTTACTTATATACTGTAGGAAATAAGTTAGGTATTTTATAAATATTTGTGGAGTTTATAATAATTGTCGATAAGTTAGTACGTTTCAAAACTTTAAGTTTTCATTTAAATGTGTATAAGTATATAGGAAAATGTAACATGGTGACAACTAAGGTTACTTAAAACTTTGTCTTTATGCTCTTGACACTATTCAATAATGTGGGAGCGCGAAAATCGTACTTCTTCTTTGGCACCATGGAAAGCAAAATTATCTTTGCACCTGCTTAACTGAAAAAACACAATGTTGAAATATCTTATATGTCAAGTAGTACTAAAAGTAGATAATATACATAGATGTCATTGTTCACAATGTAAAACAGTTCATAGACCACGTTTTTTGCCTTCAGCTTCATTATACTAGTCGTCTTCGAGTAACATATACGAACGGGCTATGGACATGACGGTTTTGTTTTGTTCAACCCTAATAAAAAAGAGGTGTTGCTTTACACTAGTATATATTTAGCATTGAAGATAATATTGAAAAATAACTTTGTTCTTTACTGTCCAGTAACAGTGTTTTTAAGCCTTTAGGAATAAAAATAATTATATTTTTTATCTTTACTAATATTGTAAAGAGGTAAAGCTTGTGAGTTTGTGAGATTGCGAGTTTGTGACGTTGTAGGAGGTAATCTCTAAACCTACTAAACTGATTTAGATGAAATTTGGTAAGTAGATAGTTTGAGACCCTGTGAAGGACATAGGATACTTTTTATCCCGAAAATCATCCCTTAAGGGGGTAAAGTTGGGGATGAAAGTTTGTATGGGGAATCAAGATAGGGACGAACCCGAGCGAAGCGAGGATGAGTCGCTAGTAATTAAATAAATATTCGTTAGCACTCCAAGAGCATGTGACGGGGATCCTATTGCTATTTGATGTGGTCCCTAGGTTTATTTATACTTGTTCAATAAGCTTCAAGTTATATTTGAGATAATTATTTCTATATTCTGTTTTTAGATAAGATTTACTTAATCTTTAATAAATATAATTTGATCATAACTGTTCATCAATAAAGTTTAGAGGTCGATTTAATTGTGCTTTTTGTATGAGTTTTGATGTAAGTGCATGTTGAGCTAACATTGCGTGGTTGGCTGTCTCCGAAAGAGCACGCGAGTGTCGGATTCTTGCGTAATTTGACCGAGCAAGTCGTCGCGCATTTTACTGCATCCTTTATGAATACCGTCAATTACTTATTTGAACCTGTCGTGACAATCCTTAATGCAGTGACGTAGTGTTTGATTTATGATGATTTTGTGATTTTATTAGACTTATTTAAAAAAAGACAGTCAAGATGAATAAAAGGAGAGTTTATATTATGCCCATAGTGTTTATTTCTTTACTTTCAGTAATAGGTAAGAATTTCAATACATATTTAACATACTAAAAATATTATAGACTAGCGGACCCGACAGACGTTGTCCTGTCTACACGTCTTTAATTTGAAAATTTCAAACTTTTTTTAATAATTTTTTTGATGAAAATTATTATTCAAATTGTGAATCTAAACCATTCCCAGATCCCCTTGAACACACACAAAAAAATTCATCAAAATCGGTCCAGTCGTTTGAGAGAAGTTCAGTGACATACACACTCACAGAAGAATTATATATATAAAGATTTTTATTTTTGTAGAGTTACGAACAAACAACCAACTACTGATGACCAACCACGACTGATATTGCTTAAAAGTTACATTAAAATCCGTAGTGCAGTAGTAAATGTATACTCTATTAGAAATTAAATTAAGTACATTTATTTTCTAAATAAGTATTTTTAGTAAATATGTAAACAGCAACAAATTGTTAAATATATTTTTTTTATAAGATAATGTTTACAATAAACAAAAAATAACAATTGTTAACAATTTTAAAACTTGATAATTTAAACATAATATTTACATTTAAAAAATTAAAATAGTACAGACGTGGAAATGTCTAAAATCCAGTTCAGTCTTTTTTTTGGAGAAATGCTTAGCGAATTGTATTTTAATTAACATTGCATATTACTTCTTGGCAATATCTGCAAATGTAACATCAATTATGAAAAATCTTGTTGTTTTTATTATTGTTTGGTAAATACTAATTACAGGTCGTACATTAATTTTGGAACTCTTACTAAGACGAGATTGAAATTCTAATCTAGGCATATTTCAAATATAATGTATCGTACTATTAGCAGTTTCCATTCAGTTTCAATATACATATCTTTACATAATATTAAGTAAAAGTTAGGCTCATAAACAGATCGATTTCATTATGCAAATGAAATAATTATTTGGTATATCACGAAGAACTATATGACATATTTGTTAGGCTATTTATATAAATTAATGATAATATATTTATTCCTATGGCTATAAGTCTTTTGTTAAATTCATTAATTTATCTGACAGTATTTTTCAATGTTACTGTCATTATTGCTAATGTTAATGACATTTAAAGAAAATAAGTCAATTTATTTCAAAATTCTAATTACACAATCCAGAGTAAGAACTAATCAAGTTTAGGATTAATAATCCGAAACTGTTATACAGATGAAATGAAACAGTTAATTTTATTATATTTTCATGATAGGCGGTACACGAGATGGGAACCGGGTGAAACGACTACGGGCGGACAGCACGGCAGTTCGCGAGCCGGCTCAAGCATTAGACGCACCCGAACCTGAACCAAACATTGCACCAGCACCTATATCATTCATCAACCCCTCTGTCAAAGAATATCTCGAGCTTGGAATGGCGATACCTGGTGAGATTAATGTTAAAATATATAAAACTTAGTCAGCATTTTAAAATATTTATCTTAGTTTAGAGTAAGACTTCAGGTGTTCTATAAAAGTCAAATAAAGTTATTCTGCAGTAGACACGTTCATATATCATAAAGCAATAGAGGTTCTAATGGTACATAAGCATATAAGGAACATTGTAATTTTTATATTTATATCCAAAACTAGCGACTTACTCTCGCTTTGCTCGGGTTCGTCCCTAGGTTGATTTCCTATACACACTTTCATACCCATTTTCATCCCCTTAAGGGATGATTTAGGGGTTAAAAAGTCTATGTCCTTCCCAGGGTCTCAAACTATCTTCTTACCAAATTTAATCTAAATCGGTTCAGTAGATCCAGAGATTACCCCCTACACCCTCACAAACTCACAAACTTAACCTCTTTACAATATAATTATAGATGAACATGAGCATGTTAAGAATTATAATATACTATATTTATATTTATAATGCCATAAGTAGCATTTATACCTAGCTATAAAGAACAGGATTTTAATAAATGGCGTCCGAAAACTATTGTCTTATTTGCTCACTGCGCATCAGACAATAATTTATATCACAAAAAAAATATTATAAAACATTCAAATGTAATAAATAAAATTTAATGTTATTGAAACAAAATCTTTTTATATTACCTTAATTTTTAATTACAAAGTTACAAAGTTGACAATTTTAAAAACGTGTTTTTAAAGTGCCTTTGAACTTGAAAACACTCGGTGATATCAGCTCAATTATTATTATCTTGATTCCAGTTGTAACAAGGTCGACTGGGATATAATTTGTTATTTTTTCGAAGATAAATCGATTCAACTACTTAGGTACAATTTTGGTTTCGTAAAAACAAATTAAGAATATACACTATTTATAAGTGAACATGTTTTAACCTTACTAGGTACTATAGGTAAAATTGTTGACTAAAGTCTCAACAATATTAAAAAAACCCTCAAAATAAAAAAGTCTGCCTTTTTATTGTATAGCATCATGTCTGTCGACAAAGATATATCAAGCGCACCTGAGTGTTAAAAATGAATTTGTGATAATAATCCATTAAATATTTATTAACATTTTTCTATTTTTATTTCAAAACAATTTTTACATATAATTAAATAAATTTAAGATGCTCAAACTACACTTCAAAATATCTACTTAAATAAGCGAATTTCATTATAATTCTAAAGCTTCAAAATTTTAATATTTATACCTAAATGATTGTCCGAATGAGTTTATGACGAAGGTTAATTTTATAAATCTTTGAGAGTTCCTCTTAATTTTTCGCAAAATATCAGATATTTTTTTTATATTAAAGCAATTAAATTATTAATCAATTCGATAGGATGAGTTGTATTTTTGATTAGCTTTAATTTCGCTTCCTTGTTATTTTTATTATCATTTGATTTGAATGAGATATTAATATTCGGCGTTTAATATGTATTGTGAAATAAAACTTATACGCACACATCATTCAAAGCTGAAGAAATTGTTACTGATTCGTGAATAATAGTATTAACTATTAATCCATACTAATATTATAAATGCGAAAGTTTGTAGTATTAATGTCTGGGTGTATAGATGTATGTGTGTTTGTTACTCTTTCACGCAAAAACTACTGAATGGGTTTTAATGAAACTTTACAATAATATATCATCATACATCAAATAACACATAGGCTATTTTTTATCCCCGAAAAATGTACGAAAAATGTGTACATACACGTTTCCGTGGGATAGATTTGTTTTTCTTTTTCTAGAGGCGAATCCGAGTGAAGCGAGGGTGAGTCGCTAGTAATAAATAAGATCAGATGTGTTGCAGAGTAAGTTTAACCATTCTAAAGAAATACAATAATTTATAATGATTATGATGTAAATCTATTATTGCTTAATGTTACCACACCATAGACTTAAAGTAAATTCTCATTTTCTCAAACAGCACAGGTGATATCAACTATCTGAACTTTAGCTTTAACTACCAACAAATAGTGCTCGATGTTACGGTTGAAATTCTATTTTCGTAATTTGATCCGTCCTCCCTGTCTCTTAATATACGAGTGTTTATAATTAATTTATAGTGGCGAATCGATTCAGTTTTGTCAAGACACTGTTTTTATTTAACCTTTTTTTCGATTAAATTGTAGTGAATCAATTTAAACATGTATAAAAACAGGTTTGTAAATGAATGTAAATTAATAATAATTATAATCAAATCAATTAATTTTTTTATGTAAGAAAATGTAATAATAAATAAAAAAGTAAGAAATACCTATTTTAATTAATAAAGTAAATTCCACATAAATTGTTTGTACCTAACTAATATCGCAAGACATCTCCTTTTACTTTTAATTTTATCATAGTTTAAAATGCATTTGAACTATTTTATATGTAATAAATTGTTAATGGTTAATTTATTTTTTTCTCTTAAAAATAAACGGATTCCGATTGGTTTAATTATGCACTAGCATTCATTATTTATTATTTGAGTATTTATAAAACTTTCCCTATCTGTCGAAAATCGATGCGGACAAGTATGTATACAATCACTAGGTATACCAACAAAATTGTTTAAATTCTGTAGGTACATCCTTTTTCGTGAATGATGAAAATATTATAAGAGATTATATTAAAAAAAATGCTTTCTAGTGTCTATTTCAAAGTAAATAGAAATATTTAACTTATAAACTATTTAATGATTTTATTTTATTATAAAGATAAAGATATTTAAAAATACTTAGTACTAGGTAGTATGTGGTTGGTTGCATAAAAACCAACCTGTAGAGACCAAGATGATAGATAGATACATTAGGTCTAAGAATGTTATAAGCAGTTTGTTTTTGCTTACAGTTATAGTTTCAAAATTACTATTTTTGGATAATTGGCTCAAAGAAATAAGCAATGAAGTAACACAGTGAAGAAGAGATAGAATTAACGGATATTCAAGAGTAAAGAATATATGAAAAATATTTTAAATATGTGAAAAATAAATATCTTTATAAGGTAAATATCTTCTTATAGGGTAGAATAGCACACGTACGTAATGCAACCACACGGTTGCAATTAGGAAAGTATTTTAAAAGCTCCTAAGCACTGACTGACCGGCATAATAATTTAATAAATATTTTTATATAATAAATGTTTATACCTCAAGATCAATATAAGTAATTCTTTTCAAATACTTATTTTTCAAAAACATTATATTTAGGTGTTAAAAGCGATGTTGAGTCTTCCTAAATCATAACATCTTAGTCATTATTGATGATACAACGATTAAAGTATGAGAAGACCATCGCATCCGTCTAGTCAATACGTTATTACATCATCGACGATCGTTGTCGAGATCGAGAATCTCAGATACCATCAATAGGAAGCATCAAAAAAATGTAATCTCACTCCTTTATAAAGCTTAATTGATAACTTGAACTTACTAAGTTTTTTAAGTGATATCAATTATTAGTAGGTACTATATGTGAGATCTACTAAATATTATATGATACATTAAACTAGAGAGGATTTAGTGCACGTGTCGTAGTTTTTTCTCTGGGTTTGTTTTTTGATTATTTTGTCTAATATAAAAGTTTTAAGATGTATTATATTTTGCTCGTGTTTTATAAATATTTTCTTCATAAAGAAACTTGAACATTTTTGGCGCATCTTTTGTGCAAAATTTATAATAGTGAAGTGGGGTAAATCCGGGACGCTAAAGAAAATATTAAATCTGAAACCTTTTTCTTTCTGGAAATTTTTCGAGAAGCGAGACGATATCCACATTTTCTGTCTATTACTTCTAAAATGGCATTTTTCATAATTTCTTCACTCCCGGATTTTCGATTCGTCGATCTTTTATAATTTCGTGGCATTTTGTTGTAGCTGTAACAATTCATCAAACAAATTAATATCTTCCGGTTACCCCGTACGGTTTTATCCCAAGCGCAGCGAAGATAAACAAAGTAATTAAATAACCTAAAAATATGTCGCAATAAAGATTCAACCAATATTCATTTAACATTAATACATACTTAATCTTTACAACAAAAACAAATTCCACTTACCTTGACATATGAGACTACAGAACACCTATGAAATCCGTCTAATGTTAATGAGGAAGAGCCCGTGAACGCCAGACCTTCGTCATTTTATAAAGGCTGAAAGTTTGTCAGCGCATGCTCCCAACACAGATAAGAACGATGGACCATTATGAAGTTCAGGCTATGGTGGCTTTGGCAGGTACACGGTACTAAAGGTGTGTAAAATACCGATCTAAATTCGTCAAATAATAAAGTGTGATTTTTTGGTATTACCTTCAGAATATTATTAAAAATCACGTCATTCAATACCAGACACTTAACATCGTGTCAAACCCTTGCCAGACACCCTTTTCATGAAATCATAATTCTACTTACGTTATAGTATAAAAGCTGATTTTTATATATAATGCTTAGGTAATAATTAGATGATTTATAAGACTGCTAGCATAGCATTTATTACACACCATGAAAAATGTTCCAAACAAGTTGGGAGGCATTTCTAAGAAAATGTTGCAAATGGTCACCAAATTTGAAGCGCTAAGAATTGACTTTATTTTTGATGTAAGTAGAATTATGATTTCATGAAAAGGGTGTCTGGCAAGGGTTTGCCACGATGTTAAGTGTCTGGCATTGAATGACGTGATTTTTAATAATATTCTGAAGGTAATACCAAAAAAATACACTTTATTATTTGACGAATTTAGATCGGTATTTTACATACCTTTAGTACCGTATACCTGCCAAAGCCACCATAGTCTGAACTTCATAATGGTCCATCGTTCTTATCTGTGTTGGGAGCATGCGCTGACAAACTTTCAGCTTTTATAAAATGACGAAGGTCTGGCGTTTACAGGCTCTTAGGCCATAACTGTTTTTTGAAATATTTAACTTTTGTTGACAAACTATTTAAGATGACTAACTGCAAGAAACAAGGCGCGCGAAGATAT